TGCTGCCCTGTGCTATGCAGCATAAAGATCACTGAAAGATAAATTAGCTGGAAGGGCAGTAATGGGATACCTGGAGCTTTTCACCAGGGTGTCACTCATTCTCATCAGAAAAGACTTGAGAGTCTCACAGCTGTCCTATATAAAATTAATTTGCTTCTTTTGATCTAGATCCTGAAGGACAAAGATGCACATTGCAATAATGCAACAGGATAGAAAGGAAGCAGAGACTGAGCAGGTCGCGCTCACACAGGTGTTTCTGCAGCCACGTCCCCCATGCAGCACTGAGGACAATGAGCTGCTTTAATCCACATTGCACTAAGTTTACTGCAGAGAGAATTTTCTACCTCTGCACCCTCAGTCTGGCCCGCTGCCCAGCTGTGAGAGTCACCATCCACACAGGTAAAACAATTTATTGAACTGAGATATTAGGTGATGCCCTGCTCTACAGATTGCAGCTTCTTACACTGGGTTTAGTCCCTGATTTTAAAAAATGAAAATGACATGGAGGGTCCCGTCGGCCAACTTTGATCTGACCCTGAGATGACTTTGTTAGGTCTTCTCTCCCCTTCCTTCATTTCAAGGGTTATCTGCAGTCACACCTAATTTCTGCATTTCTTTTTGTTGCTGAATTTGGATTTTTTTTTTTTAAATTCTCCGCCATAGCTTGAGTTACAGATCTGAACATCTGATAAATACAAACGCCTTTTTCAGATTGTTTAATCTCATGTATCAGCAAGGTACTCTTTTATGAAAATGTCTTTCAACAGCCTCTAGCAATACTTCAGTCTATCACAAATACCTAACTCCAGTCTTGAAACTGGAGTGACTCAAGCTGACAGATGCTAAAAAATTTAAACATTAGGCTTAAAGAAGCTATCGCTTCTGTCCTGTTCTTGCACACACTGAAACCCATTTCAGCTATTCTTTTGGGAGCACCACAGTACATGTCTCTCATTCAGACGTATCTGGTTTCCTAGACAATGAACTTTCTTGTTTGTTTCTGCCTTTGCCCTATTAATTTTGCAGTAAGGTTTGATTACTAAGCATAGTTTAAATCATACTACCAATGTCAATCTCAGTTTGTTTATCCCAGCTCATTCACTTTGATCATGGAGTGTATTTTAATTAAAACATGCTAAGTTAATATACAAGGAAATTAAATGCAAAGGGAAGTTCTTTTTTATCCTAACTCCAGTGGACAATTAGCAGGTGCAGGAAAATCCTGCTGTACAATAGCCCTGCTTGGTAAAACAATCTGTGGGATGAAATAGTTCCGTTTGTCAGTGAAACTAGCCTGTTTGCAGAAATTCACTGCAGCTTTTAGACCATCCCAAATCACCCTGTCAGTATCTCTTACAGATCCCATCCAGCATTTCCCCAGAGATCGTTCCTTGCACCATGGCAACATATGCTGTGGTCTGATCTCCGAGCTGTCACCCTTGCAAGATTCTCTGGTTATGGGGAGCTCCCAGATTGCCCTCTCCTCTTGCTCCCTAAATAGCAGCTCTTCCATGTAAAGAAACAGACATTTTATCACTTACTCCAATGCAGCTGCTGCCTTATCTGAAGCTTGATAACCAGAAAGCTAACCTCATAATCAGAAGTCTTGCTGATAAGCCCTTGCACGGACAGTGCTCACCCTCCCCCTTGAAGCCAGGCTCTCAGCACATCTGAAAAAAAGCCCTGTATGCAGCGAGGGGAAGTAAAAACCCTCTTCAAGGCATTCAGGCTGGAAAGGGAGAAAGGAACGTAAGGGGAAGGCAGAAGAGAAGAAAGAGATGGTGGGTTCTTGGGGAGAGCCAGGACCCCACGGCACTTTACCCGCCTCTGCTGTGTGCGCCTCCTTCCCCGCACCCGCAGCGCACTGAGCTGGCCGGCTGCAGCCAAGGCCCCCGAGAGCAGGGGGCAGGGACTGGGGCCAGCACCGCCTCGCAGCCTCAGGTGCCTGCAGCAGCACCCAGCCCAGCCCGAGGGGAGGGGAAAAGCCTCCTCTGCTGGGGGGCAGAGCGTGACAGACTCCCGGAGCAGGCAGAAGAGAATGCTTCCCCTCCCGAGGTGAAGAGAACACCACGGATTGAGTTGGGGAAACACAGAGAGCCAGGCTGGTGCTGCCCAGCACCCTGCTCCCCCCAGCTCTCCCCTCAGCACGGGCAGGGGGCCCAGGGCTCCTCGGAGCAGAACATGCACTGACTGTACCTGGGATCACCCTGCAAAAGGGGGCTGTGGTTTCTGTGAGATGACGTTGTTCCAACTTTGTGTGGAAAGTTTCCGATTAAATGATATGATGCCCTCGCACGGTATCTTTTTCCTGCGATGAAACACATCCAGTGCCACCTTGACAGAACAGATAGTTTAGTTACTCTCCAGGGCAAACAGTGCATGTTAGTGAGAACACCGAAGAGCAACTTGCACACCATCACCCACAGCAAGACAGGGACAGCAGGGGGATGAGGCTGGTTCCCCAAGCCTGGGAGTAATGAATTTGGTGAATTTGCAATAAACCCTTGTCCCCTTGGATGACATCTTAAGTGTTTCAGGCGGTTTAGGCAACTACTGGACTCAAGTTTCTTTGGCACGGGTTGTGTGAGCAGACATCAACTGCACACAAATGCACTCTCGAGTCCCAGAAAGAGAACCAAATTCCTTCCCTGACACAGTGAGCCATGCTGTACCCCTGTCTTTGCAAGGAACTCTGATTTTAGAAGTACAGGTGTAGGCAGAGTCCCTTGGGGCTACTCTGTATGTTCAACAGGCCTAAGCAGGTTTTTGACCCTGAGGAACATGGTCCCATAGAATTTAAGCTTACTTGGTTCATAGCTATTCCCTGTCATTGTTCACATTTAAAAGTGTTTTAACTCCCCATCTCAAGTGTAAGAATACTTGTTTAAATAGAGATAACAAAATAGGAAATCACAAGGAAAAAGCCCACTATTATTTACATTGCACCTTCTGTCCCAAAACCTCTCAAAGCTATTACAAACCAAAGTCCTAACTGAGAGGACCAAAAGATGAGACATGAAATGCATAGTCTCTTGTGTGATTTTTAACCTGTGGGATTAAAACACTTAAGTACCTTTTAAGAAGTTTGTCTTAATACATATTTGCTACATGAAGCTAAATTAATCACACATTAAAAAACATATTTTCCCACTAGATGAGTACAACTGAAGGTAACAAACCAAAACCAGATTCACTCCAAAGCATATGTAGCTCATTTTTCCAACAGACAAATCTGACTGTACTCTGACAAAATTCAACAGCACATGCTGAAATGAGAATAATACCAAGCCTGAACTACTGTTGAAAAAACCCACCAGTAAAGCCCTTCACCCCATACTACAGAATACTTACTATTTCATAAAGATTTCTCAGTTGAGAATAAAAGGTGATTAAATTAGCAAGAGAAATCACTAACCATCAGGCAAAGGAAGTAAAAGGTAAACCTATAAAGACATGCTGAAGCATCCTACCTGGCATAACATCACCAATCATTTAAAAAAAAAAAAAATCAAACGACAAAAAAAAACAACAAAAAAACCCCAACACCACACAACTTTTTTAGACTTCAAAAGCAAAAGGTAAGTCAGCTCTTACTTTACTTACCAGCTGATAGACAAGCTGAGGTTTCTCTGCTCTCTCACAACACTTACATCCCAAGCAATGCAAGACACACACCTGCCAGTTCTGTACTGCTTATGATGCCGCTTGTTGTTTTAAAGGACGGTTATATCCCAACTGCCAGAAATTATCCATTTTAAACAGAGTTTTTAAACCAAGACATGTTAAAATAAATAGCATTTGAGTGTTCCTGAAGAAAAAAAAAATGTCCCAAGCTAGCAAAACATTCAAAATCAGGACCCTATAGCCTGACTCTCAGAGGCAGTTTTTTTCAAAATTTACAAGAAACTGCCTGCAAGTTTTTTAAAGCTGAAAACTTCTGGGAACAACTTGCTTAGAAAGTTTATTAAACCCATCAGTCTGAAGAGCAGTTTTGGCAAGTTCTACCATAACCCCTTTAGTTGGAAAATGGCATATGCAAAAGCAATGAGGATTTATGAGGCTTTGAGAGGAACATGAAGGAAAACCAACCAAAAATGATATATTTTTGGTGGACTGTTATCCCTTTAGACAATACTTAAATGCTGTTTAAACAAACACAAGGTTGTGCTGCTACTAAGAGCTTGATTCTCAACACAAAGAGAAGTTGCTGCAGACAAGCATGGCTATGGTTACAAAAATGAACACAAAAGTTAATGCAAAAAGTCATCTCAAAAAAAGTTTATTAGCATGATTAAAAACATGTGAAGAATGACAGTAAGAGAGAAAGTAACTTATAATGGAAAAATATCCATTTCAACAGTTTATATTCAACACGGCTTGAACTGAATGGATAACTTTATTGCCGGATTTCACTTGATTTTTTTAACAACAGTTCACATTGTATCAGCTTCACCATTATGAGGACTATTGCTTTTGTTTGGATCTGATCCTTGTTGCAGGTAAGTATAAAAAAATATCCCCCATTACTGCTGGATTGCAGAATGTGTTGTTGGTTTAAGAGCTGGTAAAAAAGAAATTCTCAACTGAAGAGTCTGTTTAAAAAACAACCTTTTTTTTCCTAATCGCACTACAAAGAAATACATTAGTATTTTGGCCTTTAAATTTCTTACATGGTATTTATTTAGCATGGCAATCCACGAATTCCCTCCCTTTAAGTAACCATAAATCAAACCCCTCTTTCAGAGGCTGCTTCTTGAGTTAGGTTCTGGAGATTTACTTCATACACGCTTACACTGGCTTGAGGACGAAGACAGCATCATCTAGTACATAGTAGTCATTATACATATCACCTTCACATAGGTATGGCAGTCTGGTGAAAGCCTCTATGGCAAAACCAGCTTTACTGAAAACTTCTGGCAGGCTATTCACCTGTTCTTCCCAAGTGTGCCCTTTGATTTCCAAAACTTCTGAGGGCTTTTCCCACTTGCCACCTACTGAGAAAACAAAACAGTTTTGTTTAAATTATAAAGAAAACTTTATTGTGTGTTATATTTTCTTACAGAAAGCATACTACACAGAGTATATTCCATCCGCTCAAAGTAGAAGGTTGACAAGCCATTTGTAGAGCTGTTGCAAGATCAGTTCAAGTTTTTGTCTACTGTTCAGAAGCAGCTCCTTCTTAAGGTTATCTTTTGTTACATTTTTAACTAGCAGTTCCAAGACTGGCTGAAAAGTAATTTCCACTAGTGAGACTGATGTTCAGCAGATTCTTTCTTTATGCTTGCTGTCTGGCCGAAGATGGCTTCAGGTAATTACAGTAAATAGAGCCAGCAAATTGGAAATTATGATTTGCTGTGAAGCTTCCATCAGCAGACTACCACATTATAACAGATGGCCACAGAATCTTTGTTCCCGCAGTGGCCACCTACTAGCTGATAAGGTAAAGACTGCTTGGGGTTGTATAAAATTAAGAAGCTGAACACCTGAAGCATGCTAGAAAACATGTTGCCATAGGTTATATCCAATGAAAAAATCTGAAGAATTATAGGTACAACTCAGAAATTCAAAATTTAAAAGCGTTCACTCATTTTCCAAGTAATGTCATCCACAAATACCAAACGTTTTCTGGTTTGGTCTGTACCTTTAACCAGTTTGCTAAATGCAATAGTAAACACCCTTCTAAACAGGAAGTTCCAAATCTTGTGATTCAGAGTGTTCTGCAACTCCAAAGATTTCCTAAGTTCCTCTTCCTTCAAGCAGAATTGTTTCCAGAGCGATACAAGAAATGGCATCTTTCAACAAATTAAAAAACGTGCTTATGCTGGCATTTGACTGGATTCTGTATGGTGCTGGTAAGACTTTTTTCTAAGCTTCTTATATTTTCCCATGTAATAGCAGTTACACAAGATTGAAAATGTTTTGGTTATGACTTGCAACATTGCTACAAAGTAAGAGCAGTAAAAAGTTTTGCTGAGAATCAAGCTAATTTCTGATACCTTCATACAATTTCCAAATTAAACAACTGTCAGCAAATGCTGTCTTCCAAAAGTCTGAAATGCTCCTGTAATCTATGATTCCTAGGTCAAATCCTACTGCACTTCCCTACAGAGAATGCTCCAGAAGCAGCAGCTGCATGGTTTCAGTGCAGCTGTGCTTGTTGAGGAGGAGGGTTTGGGAAGTTCAGCAGACAGTATCTGCATAAACTGAAGCCACAGGGTTTTGCTCTGCAAGGCCACCTGGAGTCCTGGAATAAGGTGGAAAAGAGAAGGGGTTCAGCTGCAGAAGCACAAGCTACTGCCTTTCACCACACACGGTGCAAGTACACCAACAATTTATATTACTACAATCTCCAGACTGCTGTAGCTGCTATGGAATGGCTCTGATGTTGATCTGACACAGAAGCAGAGCTTCATATTACTCCTGTAGAAGTCACAGACACTGAATCTGCTCGGATTTGGTCCATAAGCACTCAGTGAGAAAAGGGACAATGCTGATTGTCCACTGTGGACAGGCTTATAAATTGTGTATCAGCAGTAGACTAAGAAATGTCAGTTTATTTTTCTTCTAATTTGTTGTATTCTGAGAAGTAGAAAGGGATGCTGTTGAGCTATTACCTTCATTTTCACTGCAATAATCTCAATTCCATTATTTAAATAACTAAGCAATTTATTTGAATAAAATTAAACATACCAAACCAGTATTTAAATTATGGATTTCAACAAGGACTTAAAAAAAATGTCCCAGACCAGTCATATTAAACCTTACATTTCAGTTCCTTAATGAGAATTCTCTTCTCTGAATAATCTTCTTGTTTTCTCTGTGCATATTTTTAAATGTCAGAACTCACAAGTAATATTATTATCCTTAGAAACCCAGAGTCAATATATGTGATGAAGTGGAAGAATGTCTAGGAACTACTATGAATTCTAATCAATGTTATGAAATTACTAAATTATAAATGCCTCCCTTTACAACATTTCCACTGCCTGCCATCAGGCTGTTTCACTTGATTCAGATCAGGAACAGTGGTGGAGAGAGAAACCCTTGCAGAACTATTCCACTGAGCATCTAGAGTCATGACACACAACATCCATCCGCTCCCCACCCATTACCCACCCCAAACTCCCAAAACACTAAGATTTAATCTGAGGCAGGGAACTACAAAAGCATTCTTTTGGTCTTCTCCAGGACCAAAGGAGACATTCACATTATTTTATATATATGAATCTTCTCTATACTTTTTCAGAAAAACATAAAGCTAAGCACATTACCACATAGGTAAAACTGTTAAATGAACAGATGGGCAAGCTGTAGGATTTACCTAAAAGAAATGCCTGCAGGAAACAACCTTAAATATTTAAAGTTTGAAACACTGTTGGTTTTCCTCCTTTACTCCCACCTTTTCTCAAATGAATCAGAAGTAGTTTATTTTCTTCTTAGATTGTGCCTTGCTTTTTAACTGTCCCAAATGTTACTAATTGTTTATTCTCAACAGGTGCTGCAGATATCTGCCAAGTCACTGTAACACAACCCAGATTCCAGGAAGCTGACTACTCCATGCAAACTGTGTTCCTAACATGTGCTTTCTCTGCCTCTGGATGCTCCCCGTCCCCACCCCAAATTCTATGGTTTCGCCTTTTAACTAATGAACATGAGGATTTGTGTACTCCTGAATGCACAGATCAGCAGAAGTACAAAGTACATTCATTACCAGAAAATAACATTTCACTTCAGATCAATGATCTGACTGTAGATGACAATGCTGTTTATATCTGTGGAATAGCATTTTCAGATTCAAATTCACCCCATTCTAAACAAGCAGGAGATGGAACTGTACTAACAAAAACAGGTCAGTTGATCATTCCTTCTTAACGAAGCATCTTAAAAGAAATAAGTTACCTTTCCTAAATATTCTCTTTGTTTACACTTTCAAGAATGGCATTTAGGATGGAAATACAAATGAAACAGTTACGAGTAGTATGACTATACTAAAATATTAATAGTAAAACCATGGAGGGATTCTACAAATAAGTATCTTAACCTCATTTGCTAATTAGACTGTTCTGTCATATGATGCAAATGACTCTAGAATTCTACAAAAGAAAGAAGTTTTATACTCGTGTTATCTACCTATATTCTACATCCTCTTACATAAAGACTTCAGTAGCTATCAGAAAGGAAGTATCAACAGAAAAATGAGAAGTAGAGAAACTGACAGTGGAAATACAGGCAACAGAGTACAGTTCAATCATCAGAACTGGGGATTCACTGTGCCAGCTTGAGAAAAAAAAGTTTCAGTTTTGAACCTCTGTAACATCTGCCTTCTAGTTAAGAAAACGATGAGAATTCATTAACTACATTTAAGTTTTACATGGCTAAAATAGGCCAAAAAAACCCCTAGCAACCTAGCTGGATTATTACTTTCCCTATATTCCTTCCTTCCTCTGTCTAATTGCATTTCTGAACAAAAGCCTGACTTCTTTATTCAGATATTCCTTTACAAAACCAGAAAACCGGATTATATTCTCTGTCTACCCCTAAAGGAAGGGTTCGTAATCAAAAATAACAAGTCTCCATTGCCCTTGCAAACATTCAGGGAAGCAAAAGAAAGTGATCTCACCAAGGAATCTGGACTGAAAACGAACCAGAAAATATTGATGGGTGTAAGGGTTTTTTTAAATTCCTCAGAGGAAGAGGGCTGAAATGCAGAATCTTAAGGAAAATTATGTGAATCAGAAGAATTGTCCTTTATTCTAACACTCACTTTTAATAAAGGAGGAGAGAAGCAGCACAGCAATGGAAAACTCATCTTCATGATCATTGCCTCATCCTTACTGTTTCTATACAGCACTACTGTATTCACGTTCTTTGTAGTCTATAAGGTAGGTTCAAAGTGATTTTTCTTATTTTGTTCATTTTGTAAATCTAAGCAGTTTTAACATCTCCATAAGGAGAATAAAAAGACATTCCTAGATTACGTAACTTTTATGATTAAGTTTTAAAGAGGTGGTTGGTTGAAGTTCATATGCTGCACACATCTGCAACTCTTGTGTGGCACATACCTGTACTCTCAATAGCAACCACATTTTCCTTTTTCAGTAAAGTGTCTAGAAGAAAAGGTATTCAGAAGTTAAAATTATCCTAGAGTATTAATCAGCAAGTTGGAGATTATCTATCAAGGCACACTCAAAAAGCAAAACTAGAAATCACCATTGTAAATCACCAACTCATTGGATCAGTTTCCAGTAAAAGTAAAATAATTTAAAATTTAATGTCAAAGTATTTGGGAGCTGCAGTAAAGTTACTGCAGACTAACTTTACTTGTGTAATGAAACACTATTCATACACATACAGAAGACAGACTTTGGTAAAATTTAAAAATATCAGAGACTTGAAAGAAGTTTTGTGTTTATAAACGTCACTGCTTATAAACTAACACATTAGAATGGGTTAAAAATTACATAACTACTGGATTTTTTTTTAAGTCTAGAACAAAATTTGTGTTTAGTTAAAAACAAACATCCAAATCTGCAACTAGAATCTTTACATAGTAAAGAGATTTTAACATGAGAGTGAGGACTTCAAGGTCCTAAGTGGTACGATATGGTAAAATGGTGCTTTGCTCTAGTGATCAGTGTCTAAACATCAAGACAGGACAGTCTTTTTGATTTTTGTTTTTCTTTAAACTAGGTGAAGTAGTTGATAAAATTAATCAAACCTTCTGCAGGGGAAAATCTGGTATCTGTGATGCCACTGGTTATTTTTGAGAATTATGTAGTGCCTCAGGCAGGTCCCACTGTACTCAAAGTAAAAACACTTGCAACATCTACTACCAGAAGCTGAAAAAAGTCTTACACACTTGAAAACATCTCTGATTTTTCCAATGATATAATCTGATCTAATGAAAGACTTTTATCTACAAACTGTTTGATTGAAACAGTTGGCTTCTTATCTTATGTTTTAATTGTTTTTTATTTTATTATCCATTTCTCCAGTTAAAACCAAAGCTGCTAAAGAAAAGTGGGAATGAAGAGCAAAGGACAGAGAATGGTGTATGTTATCACTTTATTTGCTTTGCCTGTGATTCAGAGGTTTTGGGTTTTTTTCTGTCTTTTTAAAGTATATTTGGAATCAATTATTCAGTTAAATAGACATTCAGAGCTGTTAAGGATTCACTTCAGAATTGTACAAAACAGTTAGTTAAAATGTAATTAATGATTTTAAATTTAAATTAATTTATTTTTAACTAATTGGATACAGGATAAAGTCAATCTATGTAAAGGGAACTCTAATACACAGCTTCCTTTCTGTTTTAAGTAAATTTTGTTTGAACTTCTGAAAATAACAGATCTTGCTATTAATTTTTTGGTTTTTTAAATGGTGCACTCAAGTAACATTAGGGATATTAAGAACCTCGATCACCATGTGTCCTTGAATAAAATCAGAAAACATGCATTTAAATATCCACTAAAGAAGGTATATATGTTAAGAGATGTCATATTAATGTAATTTAAAATAATTCTGCCTGCCAAACTGTATGTTCTTTGAGAATGTTACTAAGTAACACTAAAGACATATAAAGGGGAAGAAAAAAAAAAAATCAGTTATAAAAGGTAGAAAAAGATGGTTCCCCAAGCTTCAAACGTAGCACTGACCTAAAAGATTTTAAATAATTTGCAGAAAATCAGTAGTGGACGAAAAGTTTTTCAAGCAATTGCCCAAGAACTTCAAAAGCAGAGGTATGCTGAACATTGCCAGCAGCCTGTAAGTATCTATCTTCCAATACTGAAATTTATGGGGAAAAAGAACTGGCAGTTTTTAAGAGTATACAATTTCTATTTCCTCTGGAAACAGACTTTTCTTTTTTGAAGTTGATAAGGTTGTTTAAAGTTGATAAAGGTCTAAAAGACGTACTCTGCACAACAAAGTTACTATAAAGCATTCTAAATGACCATACACATACCATTTTATATATATATATGTATGAGATAGTATATATCTTATAGAACATATGCATGTACATCTAAAAACGAAGCTTCCATAAATTTGTATTTTGCCAAAAAGAGATCTCAACAAGTGTCTGTGGACTGTTTGGTAAAACACATAGAGCTATTAAGCATTCACTTTTAAAAAATATTTCTATTGTAGTTCCTTTTGCTCCCTTAGCCCAATGTAACTAGCGGACAGAAACGTGACAAAATTGTTATAAAAGCTCTACATAATTCTTACAGATATTTTCCCCTCCTTCAACTTACAGAGCCTAAACTAAGTACTCAACATCACTGGGTAAAGCCACACAACTTATTTAATCATTCCAAATTTATGCCAATAAGTCTTATATGACAACTTTAGAAGTCACGTGTATTTGCAAGTAAAGAAAATGGCTTCAAAATCCTGCTCCAAAATTTTGCTTCTCTTGAGAAAGAATATAAATGCTTTCCTATTCTGAGCATGGACCACACCACTTCAGAGATGCAAGGAGAAGCCAAAAGAAACATAGAACAAAGTCAAACACTTCTACTCTATACATTTTTACTTCATTTATTTCCATACAGCCCCAATTTTTTTCTTCTAATTACTCCTTTAAAGACTTCAAGTCCCTGCTGACATGACCTGGTCCTTGATTTGAGCATCACCAATGAACACAGTGGAAATTAGGGGTATGTTTTACTGCCTCTGTGCTCCCTGGAGATTGGGAAAAGCCAAGAGGAAAAGAAACAGGTTTTGAATACTGTAGATGCTATATAGACAACAGCAAATAGATAAGTGGGAAAAGAGGAGTTTACTGAAACAGTAAAGGCATGGAGTTTGCTGCCAAAAGGAAATTCTGCTTTTATTTAAAAAAAAAAAAAGTTCGTATCAGTAATGAAATACTTGCACATTTTTCCCCTAGGATGATTTGGAAGATGACACTGTTTATCAGAACAGATGACCATGTGCAGCAGTTCAGATTTGTTCAATATTTCTCATGCAAGCAAAGGGGCAGATTAAGAAGTTAAACTTCTTCACAGACTTCCTTTGCTTTAAAAAGAGGGGAGAAAAACCTGCAGGACTGTGTTCTTCAAGGGTATTTTCTAAATAGATCACCAAATTCATTGTACATTACATCCATGTTATATATCCATTTTCCATTCTGCAAGAATAAGAATGGTAGGAAAATACTTTATCTTTCATAAGATAACCGCTAAAGCTTCATAAAAGTTTCCGTTTTTAGTTTAGATTTAATTCTATGTCTTTTTTTCTTTTGACATAAATTTACGTGTATTCCTTTTACATTAATTGAGCATTTGTGAGAGATGTATGATAATTGACAGCAACAGAAAATAAACTTGTTTCACTGGTGAAATTCTGAGTTTAGTCATGTTAATGTGATAATTACTGATGTAACAGATGTACAGATGAACAGTTACTCAGTCTTAACAACAGCTTAAACAGAGCAAAACCTGTGCATTCCGTAGACAGGCAAGCAGAAAAAAAAGACAATATAAATGCATGTACTATCATGGTAAAGCTCATTTGGTCTGGGAGATTCTTCCTAGCCTATTTAGGAAAGGAAAGCAGTGGTGATAGTGTGAAGGTTGCTCCTGCAGTATTAAAATCCTCTTGCTAGACAGACAACTCCCACTTTCTAGTACTACCATCCAAAATCAGGATTACCTGTAATACCAAGTTTTGCCTCTACATACCTGTTCAACATGGATACAAGCATCAACACAGAAGCATACCACCCAGTCAAGGCAGTATAGTTTTTTTTAAAAAGTAACTTTTTTAGCACTTACTACCTACCCAATCTACAAAATCAGCACTTTTATAAGAGATCTGTTAGTATGAGACAAACTCCCTACTAAAGAATAGCTGTATCTTTTATCATCATTTAAATAAAGCAAGGCTTTGTTTAACAAATGAAACGGCTTTCCTCACTTCAGTGAGATGAGAACCTACAACCGAGACAAAGCAAGGGTCTGTCTAGCACAGTACTGTGTTTCCAGCTCAATTTAGTACAAAGCATTTCAGGAAGATGCAAAACACACCTTTGTCTTCTTATTCCTGTCAATCAATCACAACGACAATAATGTGTTCAACAAGAAGATTTCACAATCCCAGGTTGCTAGTGTTTACTACTTCTGAAGTGTGGTGTCTCTGACATTTTTATTTTAGAGAAACCTAAACCAGTCTAGCATGTATTATCTAATAATGCCTTTGTATAAATATGATGTCTATATTGGGAAATACAAAGGATTTTTACATGACCCTATGGGATACCTATTAAAAATATAAAGTTATACATGTTTTCATGTGACTAGTCTAATACCCTATGATTCATTCAGCTTACTTGCCAAATTTAGACATCTGCAATAACTGCATTACTTGTTGTTATGTATGTTGAAAATAAAAGCCCAAGAAACAGTTTATGATTAAGCTACTTTGGACTCTAGGTGTCACTGTAATTCCAGAAACAGTAAGCACAGAAATATATTTTACCTCCTCCTCCACATTGCTTTGTTCTCTTAAAGCAAGTTTTGTGTTATTCATAAAGCTAGTTTCTACAATTACCCTCCCATTACATGTAATAACCCAAATATCTCATTTCAATTAAAATAATTCCTCCATTTCTAGAACCTGATCTATACACTGATCAAACACCTCACCTGCCTCATCTCTTCTCCATTCGTTCCTCCCCCCTAAAATTCAAAAGTTTCTCTAGGTGGGTCCAAACTGTTCTTAATTAGCTGCTACAAGAAGTTACTTCAGCCATTAAATGTTCCCCTCTTTGAATGTTCCAAGGATTTTTTTTTGTTAAATATAAAGCATAAGTACATATCTAACACTTTTTAAAATGCATCATCTTGTAGAACAGTTGAATGAAAATACTGAAATTCTAAAATCATTAGTACACCATGACAACAGCCTTTTTCTTTAGACTACAGTTAATTGTTTATTTCTTTAGACTACAGTTAAATAGATTTTAAGTAGGAAAGCTTCAGTGGAATGACAGTAACTTTTGTGTGTACTAACTTGTATTGTCTAAAGAAGTTTGAATAGGCCCAGATCCATGATAGCAGTAAATAGACAGAGTATGTTTTTAAGTTTCAGAATATATTAAGAAAAACTGCCTTAAGCAAAGCAACTAATGTTCTGCAAGTCTCCACCACAAAGAAAAATATGTCTTTGGTTTACAAGACATCTTACAAGAGACTTCAACTTTCAACTACAAGTAGGAACGCTCAAGTTCAGCAATCACACAACAGGTTTCCAGTCCCCTGGGATTTATAAATTTAACACTCTATTCTTCTCCCAGTATACTGTAGGAGATTAATGATGAAGGATATAAGCGGACTTAAGAGTAGTTTCTTCCTTAATTATTTACCTCCTGCTGAGCCAGGAAGTTCCATGTGGTCTGTCACATGGTTACCCAACAACATATAGAAAAGTAGATGCTGGGTGCAATAGTGATTACAAAACATAGTGGCACTAGTTTTGAAGGTACACAAACAAAGCCATCCAAATAATTTCCTCCATTTCTAATATGCCAATGAAAGACTAGAAAGACACTGCTGTTACTCAATATTTTAAAAAATTTTTAGAAGAGGAAGCCATATAGTTCCACATTATGGGAACAGTAAGTTCTTGCATAAATCAGCTCCCCCATCTCATTTAAGACACACTACTTTTCAGAATAGTTACAAAATTATATACTCAAATACTGTATTTTAAGCAATTCTTCATCTGAGGGCATTATTTTTTATACTTAAAGCTTTTTTCCCCTCTCTCCTCCTGCCAAAATATCACTGGCATATAAAAAGAGGAAAACAGATTCAGTTTGATGCGTTTGTGATTGCCAGAATATTAAGGTTGTTAGTTCTGTATTTCCTGGGCATACATGCCTTTCCACAGACAAGTCTTAATACTCAAGGAGAGCGTGTCCAAACGATGACTGATGAACACCAGTCTTCTGGCAGTCAAACCACCTTTAGGGTGCCTCAACCTGAATCCACAATCATAGGCACTAGGAGTTTCTAGTATCTTTTGAAGTTTAGTGATAAGGACAGATTAATTTGAAATTCTCTCATGTATTTCTTTAAAAGGGAACTAGGGGAAATACTGGAGTTTTGGCACTGAATTTTACTATTTTATTTCAGTTACTAATACAATATAAATAGTGGTTGTTACTTTGTATTAGTAAGGGTCTATATTTTACTCTGAGAGCTCAAGTTGGAAACTAAACGTTATCTCCCTACGAAATTTTAGGTGCAGTTCATCTGGAACACTTGAAATAGTTTGACTTGAACTGGTCTATTCAGCATCACGGACAGTTCTCATGGTTTTGCTCAATTGGTCGCTAGAGACAACTGGGATTACCTATACGAAAGCAGCAGAGGGCCCTAATCACAGATCAGTTTTCCCATGTTGGTCCAACACAGCTCAAATGTGGCAACCTGCAGAACAGGATATGTGACTTTAATATTAGAGCTTTTTGTTGGTGCCAACAATGTATGTTGAGGAATTAAGAAAACAGATTACATCATGTGGCCTATTTACCTATGATTTCACACTTCTGAACATGCACCATACAAGTTATTTGTAAAAAACAAAAAAACAAACAAAAAAAAAAACCCCACACCAATTATTTATTAAACATTTAATCTGGGATACTATGATCTACAAATATTTTCTTTACCTGCCCAAATAGCTATTAATTTGTGTACTTACCATTTTCGACATATGGGTGAAATGGCAGAACTAACGCTAGAATGACTCTGCCTCTAGTTGGCTCCAGTACACTTCTAATATCTTTTAATACAGTCAGTGGTTGATCACAGCGATCCAGCAAATTCAAACAGCTGATAACATCGTACTGAAATCCTGTGTTTTGCCATTCATTTATACCAAGCACCCTACAAAGGGAAAGAGAAAGAGAAACAGTCTGTTAAAAAAACACAAGCTGAGTTCAGAGAGAACCACTGAACACAAAAATTCCCTATGGATGTGTTGACAGTGCAGGTAAGGTCAGCCATCTAGGCAATGAAAAGAGACAGACATGAATGATCCTTCTGTTCATCTGGAAAAGAAAACTAAATCAACAATGGGCATGAAAATATATCCAGCCCTACAAACCTTTATATTGCCTTATAATAACCATCAGGGAACAAAGGAGACAAAAACCAAAAGCCTGGGTATTAAAAAAAAAATGTGTTGTCTTAGAATAAAACTTAAAATACTTCTGAAGAAACAACAAAGCTGAAATATGATTAATGGCTTGCTGCATTCTATCTACTCTGATTTACCAGTGTGCAAACCCAATTGCAAAGTAGCTGTTGTGCTTCCACTCAAAGACAAGTGAAAAAAAAAATCCACAGCTCCTTCATTCTTTGGATTAGGTCTAGGGATATAGTGTCTGAAATACTAACCATTACTCAACAAGACCCAATCTGGTGCCTGCAAGAACCTCCAGGAGCTGTGTCAAGTGCATGAACAAAGTTCTGAAAGCACTGAGGTTTTTGTTACTAAACATGATTCAATCTTAACAGCAGGAGCTAAACCTAGCAAGAATAAAAGAATCTTTACATAGCCATCTATAGTGTGGGATTAGATAGACACAGATTATTGAGGTATCCCTATTACCAGGATTCAGTTTGCTTTCTCTGCAGTACCTGTATCATCCTCTTGCAATTTCTGACTGTTCAATTAGACTGTTCATCTGAATTTCATCTTGCTGACTTCCTTGATTAAAGCAATTTACGCAAGCTATGATGAAAGAAACTTCAAAATGTTTGTTGACTATTTTTTCTTAACTGGTAACAGGTAACATCCACATAACAAAAGAACTGGTAAGAAGGAACATCAGATGTGTTTGTTTTCCTGCTTTTGTACAAGTTAACCTTTCCATCACCATCAAACAACTGAGGAACTGACTGAAAATACTGAACATTCATTAAATATTACAAATAGATCACTTTGCTGTAATGTCCGATATAAAGGATGTAGAAAATACTCAGTACAATACCTGTATTTCTTCTTCTGAAGCTGCCATATCATAGTTTCAGACAATTCAGTGGCATAGATTTCTTCAAAATGAGGACTCATGACTTTAGTGACTTCTCCATCCCCAGCCCCTAAATCGAGAAGTCTGTGGGATTTCCACTCTGGATTTATTTTAAGCAGTCTTTGAAATTGTTCTGGGGAAAACACAAACATTGAGCCCCTTCCCAGCAGCCTGAAATGCAAAAATGAGAAATGACAAATTTTGTACGAACTTTAACAAGAAGGACAATGAAGTAATTTAGAATGTGCTTTGGCAGCAACCAGTCACACATAATAGTAGACAAGGTCACTGCTCAGATAAATTTTAAATCCAGTGTAACTTGCCTTGCACTTGTCAGAGATCAAACACAGAGCCACATGCAGTTACAGTGGTTAAGACTACAGGAGGAATTTGATTAAGTAAGGAAGAGCTCACAGGGTGCAGCTCAAGAAAATGATCCCATTAAAAAAAAAAAAAAAAAGGAGGGGCAAAAGAGAGGAAAAGATAAAGGCTGAACGTTATTTGTCACATTTGCAGATTTGAATCTCTGCCACAAAAAAAAAAAAAGATGAAATAGCAGAGGAAATAAAATGGCTGCAGACACAGAAGTATGCACAATGAATGAGGACTAGGATATGGAACTAGGAGGGAAGCAAGGGAGTAGGTTTAAAGAAAGGATGGGGGTAATTCTGCTGTAGTGGCAACAGAGATTTTTTTTTTTTTAATTGTATGTTACAATGGCTTTTGCTGCTATCTGCAGATCCTGCATTCAACATGAAGAGCTGTGGAATAGAAAATAGGCAACTCATTAAGGAACTGGGTATAGGTGACAGTCAGATTCCTTATGGATCAAGTCAATGACACACCCGCCCATAACTGTTTGAAGACTGCATAGTGACAGATTTCAGCTGTCATAGCAGAATTCAGATGAAAGAGTTAGGAGAATAAGAAGATGAAAAAGAACTGGTCACTAATAGACTGAAGATAGTTTAAAGAATAGTATTTATCTAATGTTGGATAGCAGGTTAAACTTAAAGACAATGAACAGAAGTCTTTTATGTTCAAGGGGCAAAAAGGTAAACAAAGATAAAAAGAATCAAAGAATAAAAAAATGTGAAAAGGAGGTAGCCTAGGAGTGACTGTACTAAAAAACAAAGAAAGAAACAAAAAGGATAAAGTATACAAAATCACATAAAAGAAACTAAAGCAGGATACTAAATGTATAAAAATAAACAGAATACAGCCAATTTAAGTAGAACCCCCTTGCAGCACACTTGTGTCAGTCCACACTGTATAATTGGCTCATAGCTATTATTCCTAACAGCACTCTGAAGCACTGAAGAGCCTTTGAAAAAAAATGGAAGAGAAAGGAAGAAGAGGAGACCAAAGGAACCTTTATATAAAGCTACAAGTAACTAAGAACACCACAGGGAAGCTTATAAAGTCATCTGGTTAGCAAATAAGGAAAAAGATTATTTTTCCAGCCTCAGTAGAATGCTACTATCCTCATATCAGACTGTGCAAAAGTATGTAGTAGGTGCAGAGGTAGGGATGGTGGAGATATCAGGTGAACGTAACAAAATGCATTCTTCATAAGGTCAAAACTATAACCTGTTAAATATGTGTCTGTATGGGGTGATGTGAGCAAAGTTTTGGAAAAAATACTAAAGCACCCACAAACAGCTAAACTCCCCTGCAGACACAGAAGAGACTGACGCAATATGACTAGAAGAATATTGTTTTATAAACCTCTCTTCCTGGCTTCCTGATGTTTCATCAGTCAAACATGCTACATCAGAAGATACCTGTTCAAGTACAGCTTACACACAAATTTAGGTGAAATTTAATTTTACAGAATAAGCGAAAGGACAGAATTCTGTACCACATTAGTGTTACTAGACACAACACTTGACCAACTTCTGCACCATTTAGAAAGCTGCCTAGGTTTGCAGTGGGTGTGCACCCACTCTCCAGTAGAAAGAGTTTTAGATGTAATACAGAACTGCCTGGATATGGCCACCTTCAACAAGGACAATCACAATGCTAACTGACATAGATATGGCAGCAGGTAAAGGGCAAGGTGGGGGGGAAAGGAAATGAAGGGAAGAAGGATATGTTGTCTAACACAAAGAGAACGTCTTACTCAGGTGGAAATTAATACAAGTAAAGGTTATAAAATACAGTTAGAGTCCTCCAACTATCTCTTATTAATTGCAATTACCCCCTCTGTCTCTCCATACTGGAAATGGCGTTCTTCAATTAAGAGGGTTGGGCATGAAGAACACAGTAGGTCATTTCAGATGTTAGACTGGCAATGAGAAAACTACAAATTTAAGAAAAGATGACAGATCAAGGGGTAGGGCTGAACACTTGAAAAGTCTAAATGCAAACTGTATTTAGTTTATTTAAGATTGACTTTTCACTTACCCATTGATAGATGTTCTAGACATAAAGAGGCTAAAAATTGAGGACACAAAAGAGTGATAGAGCTGAATAAACAGCCAGCCTGATTTCTCAATGCTGTTGTTTAAGAAGATCTGTGTTCCTTGGTCAAGGTAACTCTGGACAAAAATAGGCTGAAGGGATTCAGACAACTGTTCTGTGTTGCAGACATACCACTAGAGAAAGAGATAAAGGATGATTAAAAAGTTCAGCAATATAAAACCAGAAGTAGTTTAAACAAATTGAATACATGGAAGGATATTATCAGTTACTGTAAATGTAAAAATTTATTTTTTCCTACAGACTTTTCAACAAGCTTCAGGATTAATTTAACTTATATTTGAATTGTAATCAAATGAGGACCAATTACTTGCTAAGAAATAATGCTTTTGATTTTTGTTTTAATCATTACCCTGTACTTTGAAGAATTCTACAACGTAAAATCCCTAGAAAGCAAACACAGGTCCTCTACAGAACAGCACTAGGCTGATAAAATAGCATGAAGTAGGATAACATTGTTTTATATCTTCCAACTCATTCTCAAATTTTCCCTAGGCATCCTCTGAAAATAAATCAGCAAGTGCATTCACAGTATTTTTCCAGGAAAGGAGATAAAGAATCCAATCAATACTTTAGACCACAGCTTGTCTGTCTTACAGCATTGCTGGACTATGTTTCTTTGCTTACCAGTACCAACAAGCAGGTCCACAAGTCTTTCAAAACAATTAGGTCTATGAAGCTGCCTCCCATCATCTCTACTAAAAAAAAGGAGCAGGTTCCCACATCTAGGAAGTCATCACTATCAGCTGAAAGGTAGTTCTACACTTTCATATTGGCAAAATCTAAAACCCAAGCTAAAATTGGCCAATGATTCCTTTTGCCATGTGTTACCTGGTAACAACCACTCCTATACAAACTCAGCTAGCTCCGATATGCAAGCTATTAATTGTGAAGAAAAAGAATAATATTTTTGATATCAAATCTAGCTGGAAAAGTAAAAAACTATACAATAATCTAATATTTTACTATCCACTAGTAAGGCATACCTAAACTTCTTTTAACACCTGCTTTACATTATTTTAAATGCAAAAAAACTTGTGCAAAGCAAGGCAAACGTATAGAAAATCCGAATTTTAGGACCCTCATGGCCACCTTCTGCACCTCCAGCAAATGTCTCTAATGCTGCACCATTCTGGAATGTCAGCACTGATAATAAAATTCAAAAAGTTGCTCCTTGCTAGGTTATGACAAGCTAAAAACCACCTCCCCTCAATATGCAGAAGTTACAGAAAAAGTTTTAAATGTAATTTTAATTAAGAATGTCACTATTCTTTTTCACTCTCCTACACCTATGCATAGTTATTGTCAGCCCTTCCCACAGAATCTCTAGTGCCATTGGGTCTGTTTTCTCATATCAAGAATTATTCCCTACAGCTAATGAGCTCTTATCTCCCCCTTAGATCCTGCAATAATGTTCCTTAATCTGGGTGCACGTGTTTATTGTGAAGATAGGGAGTTACAAGTATCTTAAAGAGAAATGGAGAGTTTTAACAGAATTGTGTAAAAATGCATGTAGCATTTTGCATGACAGCAGTCAGCTGGGGTAACTCCCCAATGAGTTAATACCTAAGATTGTGTCTGCAGCTGTACTATGCAAAAATGTACGCTCATATCCCGATACCTTCACATTTGTTGTACCTTGCTGGGAAAGGAACAGTCACTCAACACATGTTTACAGAGTGTTTAGCACAATGGGACTTCCAGTCAGTACTTTAATGCAAATAATAACAGGACAGGATTCTTAATCCAATGTCTTGCCTGCTTTGCAGTAATAGTGCCAGCAAGCAGAGGGTTCATAAACAGGGGCTCCATCAAACACTGAACCAAAGTAGCAAGGGATACCAAGACCCTTCAGCCGAGGAGCAAACATTTGCCTGCTCAGGTTTACTTTGAAAACTACTTGCGTAATGGGTACATCTCTGGCAGAATCAGGCTCTCAACTGTATTTTCAAATACGCTTGTATGTAGCACAAATAAGCCCTTTCCTCTAAAAAACAGATTTTGAGGAAGTCTGATGAAGTCTGGCACACGGATCCCCAAGACTGCTGATTTACCAGTTTAGGTCTTTTCTCACTGCAGCACAGTACTAGCTAAATGAATCAGCATAGTCCAGTGATTCCCAAAAGGAATCCTTAGTCAGTTGTGAAAAAACACTAAAGCAAGAGCCCGTGTACTTCGTCCATCCATCTTCTGAAGCCAATTTCAAGTGCCTGGCAGAAGCGAACAATCCCAAGGAGCTGAGGATCAGGCTGGGATATGTGTCAGGTTCACTCATGAGGCTGCTGCCTAGCTACACTGGACAGGTTTGGAGCATCTCAGATCTGCCTTTTTCAATGTGTTGCCATTTTCAATACAGCAGAATATGTATCCAACTATCAAAGCTTTGGGAAACAGGCTATGTTCCATAAGCAGTGTGGCCACATATATGCTGTACTTGAGCTCATACACCTTGGTTCTGCATTGAACTGTTACCTGTAATGCCAGGATCTGACCATAGAAACCAACAGTCCCACAATTCCTGTCTTTAAGACTTCTAAATACTGATATATATTGACATAACCGTTGGCAGAACAATAATGGTGACAACTGTGAGAAGCTTGCTTCTATAAATTAGGCGTTGTTCACTGACCTCTAATTTCTTCTTCATGGTTAATATCGCCAGTAGTTATTAGCAACTACCTATATAACACTAATGAATAATAGAAATGATACTGAACTATAAAAAGTAAAAAAAATTCCAACACATGATAAAACCAATCCAAATTTCAAAAGACAAAACTGGTGAAAACCAGTTTAATTCTGAAACTACTTCCTCAGAACAGAAACTGCTTTCGTTTTCCTCCATGTGCAATATATGAAGAGACCTTTTCAGGTCACAAGTTTCATGACAGAAAGCGTATCAGTCTCTTATAGCACAACAGCAAAAAAACTACAGCACAAAAATCTGAAAATATATGCTAAGGCCTTTGTTATAATTAAAATTATCATTATTGATAACTCTTGCCTAACACTAGTGAAATTAAGAAAATGTTCTTTTAGCTAACTTCCGTAAAACTAATGAAGTCTGTAAAACTGCAGAGACTGGGGGCCTTAACATGCAATCCTTACTTATGACTAACCCCACAAACTCAATAATCATAAATCTTACTAAATTTACTAAATAATCAATACTTTAGGCTTTAAAAATCTAGATCAAATAAATTAGAAATGGAGATTAACCAGTGCAAACCATCTACCTGTGAGCAACAATCATATCCATAATACATTTCTTTGGCTGACTTGTCATTCTAGTTCAGTTAATAACACAAAAGACTCAGATTTTCTTTGTTAACCAGAAGGAAGTTCTTTCTGTAAATCTAAATTCTGCTTCTCTTTGTATTTATGTACTGAATGATCCAAACAGCAGACTACATTCATTAAACCCCAGTATTATATTCACTCAGCAGCAAGATTCTGGGTGTCAGTGCCCACCCAGAATGCTAAAAAAGGTCCAGTAATGGATCAGCTTCTCAAGTATTTATGCATCTTCTTCATTAGCTCAGCTCTGTATATTTTACTTATTCTAAGTCAGTACCTTCCTTCAGCACAAAGAGATTTTAGTAGTCCTTCTGAACTCCTGTCAGATTTTCAGTAGCATTTTGGTAAAATGTAGTGCAGATCTGAACATATTCCAAATCACATAACCACTGCATTGCAAAGGTATAGTCCCTAACTTCTGCACAAAGTACTGATCCACATGCCTACACCGACCAAATACAGCACTAATCTTTTACTGCAGTCCTATCACATTGCAAATTTATTTCTAGTTTGCCATCTACTACTGTTCCAAGGCCTCTGTGAGCTTCACAGCTTCCCAGTTGCTCACTTTTATTTCCCTCTACATACACCAGTATTAATTAAAACCATCTCTGTGATTACAAACCCACACCATTCAACATCACCTGAAAACTTCATTCAAGCTTCATTCAACTTCATTCACAGAGCTCACCAGGAAAAACGCAAACCGAAGGTTTACATCTCTCAGGAGCTGCTGATGCATTACTAGTCTTGGGACACCGCGCTGGCTCCCCATCCCGCCGTTACCGCCAGACTCGCTCCGGCGACCCTCCCGCGGCGAACACCCAAGCCCACAGCACGCTTCGCCAGCATCCAGCCCCGACTGCCTTCCCCCGGCGGCTCTGCAGCCCCAGCACCTCACCGCCCAGACGTATTTCACACGGAAGGTACACGTCAACTTTCTCACCGGGAGGACCGAGCTGTTCCCTCTCTCTTTGTCTGGCGCTGCCCGGCCCGGTGCCCCTCTCAGCCCGCACCGGGGTCCCCCGCTCCTTCCCCACCCGCCCCCGCGGTGGCCGGTACCTCAGGGCGCCTCGGCGGACGAGGACCCACCACCCGCTGCCCCCGGCGGAGCTCCCCCGGGGGCGGTGGGCGGCAGGGAGGCCGCCGTGCCTCCCGGCGCCGCGGAGCCCCCCGCCCAGCCCGGCCCCGCAGGGCACGAGGAGGGAAGGCGGCGTGGGGGAGGGGAGGGGCAGGAAGGGCGGCTGCCGCTGGGGCTGTACCTGGTGGTTCTCCCTGGCTCCCGGGGCTGGCTGGCTGTGGCTGCCCATCATATTCACGTAGAGCGACCTGGATAAAGGGCTCCTCAGGTACCTGGCAGGGCCAGACCACATCCTCCTCCTCAGCACCCACAGGAACAGGGTGTAGCAGCCCAGCCAGCCCAACCAGAGTCTCATCGGGGGAAGGGGCGCGGAGTCACCCCCTCCCGCAGCCGCCGCCTCCTCTCTCCATGGCAGCTGCGGCGCCGGCAGCACGCAACTCGCCCAGCTCGGCTCCTCTCCGGGGCCCACACAGACGCTCAGGGCGGAACGCGCGGCGCCGCGGCAGCGGGGGCCGGCCGGACGGCTTCGCTGCGACACGCCGGGGCCTGGCGCGCACCCGCTCCCTCCCTTTCTCTCGCCAATCACAGGGCGGGCGGGGCGCTGCTTTCAAACCGCAGCGGGGCAGGCTGGTGGCGGAGGCGCGTCCGTGTCCGTCCTTCCTCCCGGCCCCGGTAACCGGCGGCGAACGGCGGCGGGCAGGCGGCCAGCCTCCCCCTCGGAGGAGCTCGCGCCGGCTCCCTCAGGTGCGCACGTGCTTGGCGACGCCCTGTCACCCGGCCTGCGCGTGCGCGGAGCAGGAGGCGCGGGGCCGCTGAGGGCACCGGGCGTCCCTTACCCTCAGGTCTGCCCTCGCCGCCGCTCCCGGCACGAATTCCTCCCTGGCATCGCCCACACGCTGCCTGGATCGTTCACCTTCATGTCGGTATAGGGGACGTCCCTGGAGTTAGAACTTTTCTTTAAGGTTCAAAAGTTTCAGGAGGAGTTCATCACTTGGAGAAATATTTTTATCTGCTGCAACAGTAAATGCTGAAATGTCAAAGTAGTGCTTCACATAAAGCTGTGCTTAGTTTCCATTATCTTCAGATTTTTCCCCTACACAGAAATTTGAGGTCAGTACACATGGAGGTGATGAGATCCGTAAAAAACCTCAAATCACAAGCATTTAAAGATAAATTGGGTTATTACAGGACTTGCTCTTCAGAAGGGACTGCTGTCTGCAGGTAAAGGACTACAACTGTTTGAAATACAAAATTTGGCTTCAAGTCCTGAGACATTGCAATTTTTAACTATTTTGCAGTGGCTCAGGATGAATCTTACAGCTCACATGCAACCTTCTGCAACATTTTGTTTCATAAAGCCGTTTTTATAAAACTTACAGCCTGGGTCACTGCACAGGAGGACCTAAAGCCCTCAATCCAGGATTTGTTTTCCTAAAGCTGTGGGATGTGCATGCAGAGGAATGAAAAGCCATCGTGTAGGCTTGAAAACAAGAACTTCACAGTCAGAGACTCCTGCATCCTATTTCTGTGCATGGGGATTCAGTGGAGTGGAGACCTGTGGATAAAAATGTATCTTTAACACAACTAATACCCCACAGAGGAAGGCTAGTCTAGAACAGACAATACTTAGAACAGAATGCTTTCTGCAACATTTTAATCTGCGACAGGTCAAGCTGGCTAAACATCTTTTGGCTTTTCATAGAGTAGCATGTGCCTTTGCTAGAACAAAAGCCGTAGTTACTGTGGGTTTGGGTTAGGCATCACTGTTCTCACTTTTGCTCTAATAAATATAGGTTATTTGTGCTAACAGCAAAGAAAGTGAGGAATACTGTATACAATTGAAACAAAGAAAATCTAGACAAAGCCTATCTCATTAATCAAATTCCAGCTGAGTCTGGCATCAGGGCTATCATCTCTCATCTCAAAAATGTTTCTTAACCACAAGCAATTGGTATCTTTCCTTTTGATCAGATTTGAAAGGCTGAAGTCTAGCCTCTTAATTTCCTGGTAAGGATGACACTGGAAGTCAGACCGCTGCGGGATCCTGGCTTCTACCTGGAATATCCTCTGATCAAGCACTAATCACATCCAACCTTGTTTACCTTGGGAAATCAGCAAAAACAGAGCAAGAACAGAACATTGCCAGAGGATTTCTCTGTTCAGTTCATTTTCACTGATGTGTAAGCTTCTTGAGGAAAGTTTTTGACATGAGAGCTTTGGACTGTTTTCCTCATGAAGGTTTTTTTCTTTTTTTTCCCTCCAAATAGCTAGATGGGCTAAAATGCATTTTTGGTCTATTTCTTTTTATTTGGTTTGGGATTAGGACAGTCCTTTCTATGTATGCTCTTGTTTATAAAGACAGATTAGCTTATTTTTTACCTCCAGGAATAAAACAAATTTATAATCAAAATCTGTTATTACAAGGGCTAAATTTGATGCTTTTTAAATGGACGTCTGCTCACAATGTGTAAACCAATAAATAAAATTGCTTCAGCATTGTTACATGTTTTTCACAGGGAAACACCCTAATTTTATCACATGTAAAATACAGATAATGAATTGCATACCAAATAAATTAAGAAGTATGCTAGCTTTTCATTTTGCATTGTTAGTATACAACCTGGGTATGTTTTAATGAGATTTTTCAAAGTTCATTCCCAGTGTTACATTTGTCATTAATATTCTGCTGCAGTAGTTGTATACTAAGCATATTTTTCTCTTGACAGGCTATAAAAAACACACTATTCATGCATATTTAGGTAATAATTTTGATGTATTGTCATTTGCAGATAGGCTGGTGGAAGTGTAATCAATTGCAGGACGATCTTGGAAAACTATTTGTTGTATAAGTGTATGCATATGTCATTCAAAGCAATTATTGTGCTGGGAGAGGATTTCCAGAAAAAAAAGGAATCGCTTTTTTTTGTTTACTTTCTCCTCAACTATTTTGATAGTGTTTCTTCTTTCTCTTGATGGAAAATTTATATAATCAATTGAATACCTAGGGTCCAAAAGGTCTAAAATGTACTCCAGTGTTTTAACACTGCCTGCATTTGCTTTGTGGTGATCACAAGGAGCATGGTCTGCTGGAGCAGCACTCACAGTGACGGGGCTGGCTGCAGAGCCTCACATGTTCTAAGATGTAAATCTGCAACTTTCCCCATCAAATACACCAATAGAACAACTTTCTCTCCTATTACTTAAACAACAGTAAGGAAACAATTACCAGAAAGAGGTCTTTAAAATAAGCAAACATAGGTATCTAAAATCCACTCCTGCAAAAGTAACCCCGGAAGCCCAGTTGCAGGTCTGTCCAGCTCTCCAAGACAACTCCCCCCTCCATCTCTGTTGTATGTTCCTGTATAAAACCAGCTAGAATTAATTTGACTGCATGTACTACTGAGCTTTCTCCTGAGCTGCCTTAATTCTGTAAGAAAGAGGTCAGAAGTATTTGTGAAGATGTGGCTTATCTTAACTGTTCCTTCCCCTTCCTGCTTGCCTTTCTTGACAGCACCCATTAAGTTGTACAGCCGTATTCAAATGTAAACATCCTACTAGCCATGTCAACATAGTATATTCATGAATTACTGAGCAGTTCCAAAATCAGCACAGCAGGAGACTGGGAAGGTCATTTTGTACAAGACAAGAACAGAGGCAGGCCTGTAAGCCCCACAAAACATAAACCTAATTTCTTCCTACTTAAAATTAAATATGCTTTCTTGTCATTTATTCAATGTTTTCACTCTATCACTAACCATATATTACATTACTACTATCTTAGACTAACATTCTTTAGTGTCTATTAGATAACATCCTCTTAAATCTAGTAGACACTTTTACCTATTGATTTTCAATAACTAAAATTAATTCCGTGTATTAAGATCCAAATTATCAGAATTTATAGAGAACCTCTAAAAACAGGAATCAAGCACTGAATTTCTCATTCTATGAAGTTATCACAGCATTTCATATTTTGTATTATACACACTTAAATCCTCTTTATCAGTTATGAGACTATTTTAGACACTCTTAAATTATCAAGATTAAACTGGGGCATTTTTCCAGCAGCAGGGCTTCAAGCTCAGATACTATTAGCTAACAAGGAGAGAAAGCAGACAAACCAGCTGTTGCAAGACACAACTTTTGCCTTTGATCATCCTGTACTTGATTCATGGCCAAAAACAATCACATAGGTTTAGTAGAGAATAACAAAGTTTAGTGGGTGACAGAGAAATGGAGAATAAGTGACATCAATCATAACATACTCCCAACCTTCTATTCTTGTAATAAGATTACCACCTGAATTTAAAGCAGTTTTCCAGTTCTCTTTTGGATTGACTGTTGGTGCAATGACAGACACTTTTTTCCTGCCATTAGAACAAGAGAAATAGGACAGACAAATGGGTGAATAATAATACGAAATTTGCAAAATTATTAACATTTTACATATCAATTTGAATTTCTCAGATTAATCTCTCACGTTAAGGCTGTCTTGCTTAGAAATCTTTAACTATTTACTTTTCTTAATTCTAAAGATGCAGCAGTTTAAGGCTATTCAAACTGTGTCTTCAGTCATATTACCCCTTACTCTTTCATTAGTTCAGCAAATAAAATGGTATCCTTACCAAACATTTTTCAGAAAAAAACCCAAAACAATAGTTTCAAAGAATTCTTGGTATTATTTTGATTCTTAAAACCACTTATTTTTTCCTGTTGTATAGCACAGTACTCTCCCAGTTGTGAACTATATTCTAATAACATTAGAACTAAATAATAAAGTCATCTAAGAAACACTATTTCTAGAACAATAACATTTTCACCTATCAGAATATATAGTCTATGAGGCTAGGATGAATATATGAAATGTAGGAAATACAGAAACAGTAACTAAAAATAAAACTATTTTAAGTTATTACCATTTAAAAGGAAATGTCAGGGAGAAGACTTTCATTTAATGAATCAAAGATTACATTAACTTAAATTCCTTCAGATTTTTGTCCTTCAGCTTTTGCTTCCTTTGCATTTCAGGCACAAAATTCATACACAGAATGCAGTAAATCTTTTAACATTCAGAATCTAAACAGACAGTCCGTATCTGCTCTGGTATTTGTGTAAATATTCTTTGGATATGTAAATACAAGTGACACTAGTATGTGTACATAATGCTATTAGCACATACAATGCAAATGAATAATGGTATCTCTGACAAGACAGAGATAAAAAACAGTTAACACAACTTAAAACTTCATCGCACTTCTGACTTCTTACATTTTAACATAAATCTTCATACTCAAAAGGGTTCATTTGGATTTCTAAATATTTAACGATGATATCCCCTTTTTCACTCATCGCTTTAAAAGCACTTTGCACTTCAAAAAAGGCAAGGAAATGTCTTTTCTACCCTGCAAATGTAAAAACTGAGGCACAAAAGACTGGTATTTTCAATACTGGTATTTCAAATCTCAGACTTCTTCATTAAATTATGCTTGTCTCCACCAAAATGCAGGGCAACTTCTTACACCTCTTTCTTTTCCAAGTTACCTATCACAATCAACGTAGAGCCTTAGAAATGAGCTGGCTCAGGCCTTTAAAATCAGGATACATACAATGCATCTTCTATGTACTTTCAAGTGACTGGCACTCTGTAAGAAAGGTGCCTCTAACATTGTGTTTGCACACACAAAACAAAGAACAAAAATGAAGTGATTATATTATACTTAAGCTATCATTACACACTTACATGCTGGATATATTGGAGGAAAAAAAAAATATTGTTAAACAGGAGTATTGTAAGCATACTAATGTATCTTATCATGACGTGTGTGAAAGAGAATTCAATGTTACTGAGATTGTCAAAAAAACTTTATTTTATAAAAATCGCAGGATCCATTTAAAAGCTTAACTGAAAAGATTTTGGTAAGAATTAATCAGAAATTACATAACTTCAACTTGATTGATCAGAAATTAACTTCAACCATCAGCACATCAAATGAGTTTGCCAATGGAACCCTACTAAGCAGGTAGAGTTTGATTCAATATGTGTGTGCTTAGATTTGTCCAAGTCAACACTACTACATCCATACGCTAATGTTTTTCTTACCAAAATGACGTTCTGTATTAAGTACTAACAACATGGTACCCTCAAAATAATTTTCCCATTTAAAGCCAGAAAACTGCATCTACCTACCACCAACTAGAGATGTTCAGAAAGCCAGGGAGGACATATGGAGCTTTTTCCATATCCAGCAGCACTTTATTAAACAGCATTTGAATCTTTTTCTTTAGCCTTACACAGACTTTTACAAGGTAATTAATTACTCTTAGCTTTTCCTGTGGTAGTTGTTGGATTTGTCTTCATACTGGTCTGCTAGACACCATTTAAATTCTTCTCTTCATCTCCCCACCATCCATGAGGGATGTCTACCAGGCACTTTCAGATTAACTTCAGAGATCTGCCATTTTATCAGTATGGCAAAATTAATCCAGCACCTTTCAGTAAGCTTAAGAAAATACAGTCCCCTTGAATTCCAGGTGCTGGGTTGGGATTCCTTTATCTGGTCTGCCATATCCATTCTTCAAAGGAGTCAACAGTGACCAGTATATACCAGAAATTACTTCCAATAATTAAGAATAAAGCCCATTAAAGGCAAACAACTGAACCAGAAAAAAATCTGTGTAGACTCAGCATTGAGGCTGAATGTGACCTGTGTTATAATCTATATGGACTGAAGAATGCAGCTTTATTGAAATAGCTCAAACTGTGTTTGGTCTAATAGTCCATTTAATACAATTTTGCTTTTTCACACTGAAAACATACTGACTCTTTTGTGGTACAGTTCAGCAGTAGATTTACTGACCAACTGCTACATATTTAGTGTACAGCTGCCATATGACTATTCTGGATTGAAAAGGGAGTCCACGTCAGGATCTGTATGACTGCAATGCAAAGTGGAACCAGACAGATCAAATAGAACATGGCATCATGAAGACCTAAAAACAAACTGGTGAAGAAGATGAGAACACAGCTTTCAAGAAGATTAACTTTCACGGTCAATTCACAACAAAATATTTTTAAAGCATTCACATTATATACATATATACAGAATATACATATTACTGTATACAATCAATTCTAAATAAAACAAATATAAATATCTCAGATATCACATGTACTTAAATTACACTTCCTAATTCAACAAATATTTATTTTATGTTGTTTGCTCCCTTCATAATAGCTGAGAGGAAATTAATTAGCACACAAAGAGTTAATTTTAATACACTGCATGCAACTTAAGAAATCCTGTTCACTACTTTAGTACACATCTGTATTATGTAATACAGAAATCAGTTTAAGCAATATAATCCAGTTATAGAACAGAGCATCTGAAAAGCTTTAGTAAGACTGAAAAATCTGGAAGAGAAAGAAGAGCAGAAGCAAAAATTTTAATATGAAATTATTTAAGTTAAAATCTGTCCCACTAGCTATCCATACAGTGTGTTGTTATAGTTGCTGAGTGCTAGAGCAAAGTCATGATTAATGTACAAAATTCAAGTATGGTGTGAAGGGCTGTCTGAAATATCAAGCCTTAAATAATTTTGTTTTAGAATAAATGATTACAAGATAATATAAACCATAAGAAGAATACATGTGAAATTAACACTCATTCTCATTTATTCTCATAGATGCATGGTATTTCCTCATCTAAATCTTCTCTAAGGAATAAGAGATAAAACATCAACAAATATGAATCAAAAAAGGAAACAGGAGTTAAATGAGTTCCCTTTTATGAGCAGTATGGTTTCTGACAGCTCCAAGCATACATTTAGGCATTCATCTAGTAGCTAGAATCATTATCTACTGACATGCTGTTAATTATTGGATTCTAATTACTTAAATATCAGGAAAGTCAACTCAAGCTGAGAAACAGCCCCTGAATGAACTTTCTCTCCATGAGGCAGTTTATGTTATTTTCTGGGTTTTTAACTTAGCATTTAGGGATGAGATAGGAGACTCAAAGAACAGCTATGGACATGACTGAAAAAAGCTTTAAATCTGTGAAAAAAACTTGAGTAGGCTTTTGAGTAAAACCTAAGAGTTTCTCTGAATCATAAGAGAATCAACTCATGTCTCACTGTTTAACAGAAAAAACATTGCAAGCTCCAGCATAGCCCACAGCTTTATTCCTTAGTACATACACACACTCATACGACAATCACAATTTATCTCAGGTCAAGTACATGCTAATGCTACAAGAGGAAAACAAAAAAACACAGGCTTACAAGTGAATTACTTAATCACTTGGGCAATTATGTTTAAGACCGGAACTGTTCACTAGCAGGTCACTGGTCCATAGCCAATGCTTATTGGCAGTGACAATAATTTACCATTTGGACATTGTTTCCCAGCCTGTATTCAATTGCATTTTCAGTATATCTACAAGTAAACAAAGGCCCACAATCATGCACACCACTGTCACAACTGCCAATAGCTAACTGTATGAGCAGTGTCAGCAAGCAGGCCACAGACAAATTACCTATCTAAAGGTGAAAACTGGACTAAGACACAGTTAACAGGATCTGGGGCTTGTACTTGGCCTCTTCTGCACACTGAAGAGGACTGCAGTTTTCAGTACTAAAATTATTCTGTCTTTATACATGGACTTTGTGAAGGACAAAAAAGAACATCTGTCAAATCACTCACTGGTGCAATCCTGATTTGATTTCACTGGAACAATACTGGTTTAAGAAAATAATATTACCTATTGTACTGTAAAACCTTAAGTTACCATATGAAGAAGAATATCTGTAGTACACAGAACAAAGAATGGGAAAATATTTCATTAAGGGACTGGGATAAATCAAGAGCTGAGCTCAGATTTCATCATAATAACAGCTGAACCAGTAATTTCAGAAATTTCTATGTCCAGTTTTTGCACACATAGGAATAAAACATACAATCTTTCACTAAACAGTCTTAGTATCAGTCTGAATATAATGTGATGTAGTTCAGTAATTCAGTATGAAAACATTAACAGTTTAAAGTGCCTCCAGTAAATAATGAAGAGTTGCTGTAAAATACCTTAATGCTGAAGAAGTAATTCAAAAAGCACGAGAAGTTAGCTGTAGTTGCAGTAGCTCTCCAGAAGAGGGAGTTTTTAAACTAGGTATCTTTTCCATATCAAAAAAACCCCAAAACAAAACAAATCCAAAACCCCTCAAAACAAAGCAAAGCAAAACTAAAAAAATCCAACCCAAACAAACCCAAGCCATATGGAACAGATAATGAGATGCTATGATGATGGACCAAAAGAAAAAAAACCCAAACAAATAACAACAACAACAAAAAAAATCAAACAGCAAACTTCGTAAGTTAGATTCTACTACAAAGCACTTAACTGATGTGCAGTGGCCACATTCCCTAAGAATGTGGTATAATGTGTGTGTTAGCATATACAAAATCATGTGTAGCACATATGGAATTGTGTACAATATATAAGCCAACCTCATGTGTGAAAAGGTTACACCAAAAAGCAAGATGACTTCTGGAAGACAGATACACCATTCATCACAGAAGTCACACTTCTGAGTTATGATACCAGAGGCAAAACCAAGAGATATTGGATTGTTCCTTAGGAAGGAGACACCACAGTGACTAAAAAGTCACATTGAGGCAGAAGTAAATCCTGTCACTGGTAAGTAAGAATTTGGTGACATTAATGGTCAATGCAAAGGCTTCAGTACAGAGGAAAAAAAAAAGACAGCCTAGGTCTTTGGAATGCCTGTTCCAATACAATACTGGGGTCACCGGTCAGTGATAAGCATTTTCTCATTTCTGATCTATCTTAACCATCCATCTGGAGGTGTTATGATACCTCTCAGTTGAAAGAAAAAGGAGACTGAATTTTCCTTTTTTCTAGAATTTTACTTTCTGTATAAAACCTCTTCACTGTCTTACCTGCTTGGGTGCCCTGCAGAATACAACTGTAACAGAAGCCACCAAGATGCTGATGGAACTATTGTCTCAAAAGGTCTTCTGGGATAAGAATTTCACACATTACTTGCCAGTTGCCCTAATAAGCTGCTTGGGAATGTCATCTTTACTGAGGCATAGAACACATATCTGTGAATTGCTCAACAGCATGATGGCAACAAAAGACAGACGAAGCTTAAAAACCAGCAACCTATAGTTGATCAGTACTCTTAACAGAGTTTTGATACTTTAATGAAGTAATAATGAAATATCCTGATCTTGGAGGATGTCAAAGAATCATAATATCACATAGCTAAAAAAACAAAACATCACTGGAATGATGAGGAAGCATAGGTGAGGTAGTGTCATGTTACAGACTTTTTTCTGGAGACGTAAGAATCAGAAGAGAGATGATTTGTCCCAGCAGATAGCTTTTGATAGGTAAGATTTTTTTTGATACTGTGTAAGATGAGCACCAAAGACAGAATATTTATGGAACACACTTCTGAAGGCAGTATGCTATTAATAAATTGCTATCAAATGCATAAGATGAATGAAGAATGGGAGAAAAAGACACACCCTTCCCCTCTCTAAGCTATAACCTTTTTTTCATATGCAAGCTGAAGTCATCCAGAAAGTTTGTGAGCTCCAGCATTCCATGTGGTCTTGGGTATGCAGTTTATCAAGAAATGAGGAAAATGAAATGACAGTATTACACAAAAAGCAGTGTGAACAAGAAAAGCTTATTTCCATAATTTTCAACTGTAAATTCACTGCTGGGAAATGTGTTTTACTACAGCAAAACCCTGGAAAGTTGCTGAAAATACAGAAACCAATGTTCAGACTTTTGATGCTGATGGGAGACATCTGGACACTCCAGAGAACATTAATATACAAAACACACAGAAACCCCCCCCAAACTACCCACAGATAATAAGATATACCTTATTAAGACTATTTTGCTTTCTAAGAGATTCTGTGAAATAACTGTGGAAGAAAACTAATGTGACAGACAGTATCTAGATATAAAAAGCAACTGCCTGTATGTAACTGTAACATATCCATATTTTCACTATCATTAAATACTGGAACTTTGTTCACAGAATCATAACAACAGAATGGTTGAGGTTGGAAGGGACCTCTGGAGGTCATCTGCTCCCAACTGCTGCTCAGGCAGGGCCACATAAAGCCAGATGCTCATGACTGCGTCTAGACAGCTTTCAATTATTTCTAAGGATGGAGAGTCTCCAACCTCCCTGAGGAACATGTTCCACTTCTCACTCTCCTTCACAGTAAAAAATGTTTCCTGATGTTCAAAGGAACGTCCCATACTTCAGTTTATGCCCATTGCCTCTGGTCCTGTCACTAGGCACCACTGGAAAGAGCCTGAATCCATCCTCTTTGCACCCTTCCTTAAGGTATTTATATACGTTAAGAAGATCACCCCTGAGCTCTTTGCCAGGCTGAACAGTCCCAATTCTCTCAGCCTTTCCTGATAGGAGAGATGCTCCAGTCCCTTAATAACCTCTGTGGTCCTTCGCTGGCCTCTCTCCCGCATGTCCACATTTCTGTTGTTCTGAGGAGCCCAGATCTGGACACAGTACTGCAGATGTGGTCTGACCAGTGCTGAGCAGAGGCAAAGGATCACATCCTTTGACCTGCTGGCAACACTTCGTCTAATGCTGCCCAAGATACCATTTGCCTTCTTTGCCACAAGAGCACATTGCTGGCTCACGTTCAGTTTGGTGTCCACCAGGACCCCCAGTCCTTTTCTGCCAAGCTGCTTTCCAGCTGGGTAGCCCCCAGCATATACTAGTGCATGTGGCTGTTCCTCCCCCAGGTACAAGACTTCAAACTTCTCCTTGTTGAACCATGAGGTTCCCGTAAGTCCATTTCTCCAGCCTGTTGAGATCCCTCCAGATGGCAGCATGACCCTCTGATGTATCAGCCACACCTCCCAGTTTTGTGTCATCATCAAACTTCCTGAGGGTTCATCCTGACCCATCATCCAGATCATTAATGAAGATGTTAAACAGGATTTGACCCAGTATAGACCCTTAGGGTACACTACTAGTTACTGGCCTCCAACTAGACTTCATGCCACTAATCACCATGCTCTGGGCTTGGCCATTCAGCCGTTTTTTCAATCCATCTCACTGTTTGCTCATTCAGACTGCAATCAAAGGCTTGTCTATGAGGGTCTTATGGGAGACAGTGTCAAAAGCCTTACTGAAGTCCTGGTAGAAAATATCCACTGCTCTTCCCTTGCCTACCAAGCTAGTCATTTAATTGCAGAAGTTTATCAAGTTGGTCAAGCATGACTTCCCCTTGGTAAAGCCATGCTAACTACTACTGATGATTTTATTGTCCTTAATGTGCCTGGAAATGATTTCCAGATTTACCTGCTCCATTATTGTTGCTATGGTTTAACTTTCAGTTAAATAAAAAATAATTAATTTAGAATTCAGCAAGTAGTTTATGGTTTTGAACTGCATCTTCTCTCTTCTCCCAGTAAAAAACGTTGCTGGAAACTCTTATGACATATTTATTCAGGGCCCAAACATTTTGTTAATGCAGAATAAGGGTCCTCTGTGCTATCTTCACAATTCACTACTACTACACCTAATAAAGTAAATACTTTCCAGAACACTTAATAGATGTTGCCAGCTTTGGAGAAGCAGGAAGGACACAGCTGAGATTGTATTGGCATGGGTCATAACACTTCATTCTATCTAACTCACATGTGTCAATTTTTTTTTTTCTCAAAAGTTTGAGCATATTTTAAGCAATCTCCTGTATTCAGTTTCTGTTTGTCCCCAAACAACTTTGTCCCGAGGCAAGTGTATTTTAGCTGTCTGCCTATGGCTGTAATCTGAGATCAGCTGATAGGGTTTTAAAATGTGTAAGTAATTTCGCTCAGTGGTCTGAGTATATTGCCATGGGGAAATTGACTCCCTAGAAACAATTTTTAGCAGTCTTGTCTTTGTGGACTGCATGTCCTCACTGTAGCCCATTTGCAAAGCAGAGGACATGCACACAGGTACATATACAGAAAACACATGCAGACTGCTTCATATTGAAGAAATTATTTTTGAAGGGACAGACAAGAGATGTACATCATATTTCAGGTGCTCTTTGATTAACTGATCTCAGCTTTGTATCTTTATGCTGTTCCTTGCCCTAGTGAAATAAATCAAACTTCAGCATGACTCAAGTGAAAATACAGGTTTTAGAAACTGAGCATTCAAAGTATTTCAATTCTATATACAATAAATTTATTGTTGCTGTAGTCCAGAGGCTACTTACTGGGGAAAAAAAGATTTATAACTACTGTGATTTAAAATCCATCCACAAAAGAATCATTTCTCTGATTAAAAGGGATCAGAACTGCAGTTTTTGTTTCAAATATTCCTCTGAATCATCAAGATGAATATATTCAGCCCTCTCACATCCACATCCAGTTCAACCTACCAATCTTCTGCAAAAATCACTCATCTTATTTGACATTATGATGAGGTTCATGCCCTCTTTACATCTTCTCACTGGCTGGCTATCTACAGAATGCATTCAAATAAAATTAACTGTTCTCACGCATAGCCTCAAACTTAAGCCTTCTTTGCTTGTGTCGGGATTCTTTTCTGAAGACCACCTGTTGTCCTTTTATGTCATGCTCTTCCTCAGACATTTTAAAAAAATTCATCAAATACAAAACATTCTCCTAGTCAGTCCTTCCTCTTTCAAGAGCTATCTCCACAAAAGTTCATATACAATTGTGTTCTATGTATTTTTTAAGGTTTCTACTCAAAATTTAGGAGACCTATGTAGTTCTCAGGATATTCATGTTGTTCTCTCAAACAAATTCTAATCAGAACTGATTTCTGCCTTTTTGTCTTGACTTCAGTTATTCCTTATGTTGCCACTTCCTCCTCTCGGTCATAAACAAACAGACTATGACCCTTTCAGTGTAGTGACTCCCTATTAATTTGTTTTTATAAAAGGCCATGCATTTCCAACGTGCTAACTGGCAATCACAGCTTTATGCTGTGTATTAAGGTCTCCAGAGACTGCAATGAAATCATTAGCATTAGAATGGTAAGTAGTATTGAAGCCAAAATTATACTCCTACTTGAGGCAAATTCCCTCCCCTCCAGTGATTATACTGCTTTCTCTCTAACAAAAACGTATCTTAAATGCAACCCTATTAGGATTATATAAATTAAGGAAGTAGGTTTACTAGATAAACAAAAAACAGAAGCCAGTACAACATGTATCTTAATAGGAGGTATTAGGCGATCGCAAACATTTTTTTTTTTTTTTCAACAGAACAGGATATGGTCAATTACTGAAATGTATTCTTTGTTTTTCAAGATTAGGTAGATATCCTCACGTGTATTGTTTAATATATGATTTATTCTTCAAAAAACATTTCTATTTCTACACAGATAAAAAAGAACTGGAAAATATTTTTAAAATATAGTTGATGCAAACTAATTGCAGATTAATTTGCTTTTTAGATGACAGGATTATTTAATGTTATTTTCTATGACTTAAAGTATCCCTTTTGAACTCACCTTGCATCAGGTTGGGCAACTTCATTATTCAGGTTCTCGTATCCAAATTGATTTAGTATTGTAACCACAAGCATTGGAGCCAAAGATTGGGCAGGCTTAGTAAATAAAGCATTGGTACCAAAAACCATAGAGGAAAGTGGTGATCTAAAATATTTAGAGGAAAAAAATGAATGCACAATACAAACTTATTAGTATATTAATTAAAATAGTGATTTTAAAAATCCTGTTAATATGTAAATGCTATCATGATCGTTAGCTGTATATAGTTCTCACATTATAGCAAATGGATCAGCTATCATAACGAAATTCAAATTTCTTTGGAAATGAAATGCAATAAACCTCTGAGGTATATATATAGCTCAGCCCCAATTCCAAAATGGCTTGCACTCAAGTTCAACTTTGTGCACATTGAGTAATTACTGAAGTTAAGTTAGACTGAACAGTGCATGGAGAATTAATTACAGCTTAAGACTTTACATGCATGAGGACAGAAAAGGAGGCTTTTTTTCTTGAAACGATAGCTCTCGCCTTTGAGGGGCAAGTCCTTTAATACAGTGACCAGGATTGAATCTCTACTTATATAAACATTGATGGAACCAACAGGAAGTTATCTGCACTTTGATAAAAATCCAAAAGGTCCATCAGTTGTAATATGCTATGTCACAGCAGGTTCTATCAATGTTTATTTCAGAGAGATAACAGCAACAAGTCAGACTTTGAAATTTGCACTTTAAGTAGCATAGGCCAAGCTTTCTAAACACCTTTTCCATGTTAGAAAGGCTTTATTCAAAAAAATTCCATAAATGACAACAGGTGTATATGGTTACAGAGTAATTAAATTGAAACTAACAAAAATAAAACCACAAAAAATGGAAGGATTTGTCTTATACTATAGTATAATTAAAACTAGAAATGACCTAATAATCTGTTTAAGTTACTCTACTAAAGTAATCACAGGTAACTTATTCAAGTTCTTATCTTTACTTACGCTAAGTTGCCCCTACAGAAAGTACTTCTGTGTCAAGGCTCCAAGATAAATTATTGTCTTTATTTTGACATAATCTAATTTATGAAAGAGCTACATAGCAAATAGATAGCATATTTAAAGAAAAATAGTTAAGATTGACATACCTCCGTTTGTGCTTTATTAAATCTGCATCAACAATATCTGCCAAAGGTAAATTGAATAAACTAAATGAAGCTTGTACAACTACCCTAAAGAAAGACAAAATATTTAAGATGTTCATAGTTCTTATATACACTTTCATAATTAAATTGTAACTGACATTCTAACATATATACCCCAACACTGACATTTCCACAAATATATAAAGCTGAGTTGTTCTTTAAAACATGGCAATTTATCTGTTCAAACAGCAGTTCTGAAAGCATTATTAGATCTCTTAATTGAGAACTAGAAATTGATATGCAAACATAAAAGGTGGGGATTTTTCGCTTTTTTTTCCTGGACAATGGTGCAAAAGGTTACAAATACTTGCTTGAGATTATCAGTAAGTGTAATTTTAAATGACATGGAGAAAAGAAACACCTCAGAAGAAACTGAAAATTTCCTCTTGAAATCTGAAAAGGACATGAGCATTACTGGAAGGACTACATGGAAGACAAACTTCAAAGTGGGAGAAGAGTAGTAAAAAGATTTTATATTAATTCCTATATATGTATTTACATTATATATATATTTATATATGCATTTAAACACACACACACACACACAAAGCCAACTTGTAACAAACTGCTAAGCCATAAACTCAAATACTAAGATTTCTACGTCTTATTAAATTTTGGGTGTGATTAGCTTTTACTTACAAGAGGCTTTGAACAATCAGCACTTTAAACATAGTCTTTAGGTACCTTAGAATTTTTTCCTGGGGAAATCAAAATATATCTTCATCATTTTAAGTATGCAGTTCATAAATTCAATTTATTGTTCACACAATTCAGTGTTACAGTAGCCCGTGACTGAAATACTGAAAATAAGAATGAAAACAGGGGGGGGAATAAAGAAGATGAAGAAAAGGAAGGTAGGAAAGAACATGTAGAAGGAAAGCAATGAAATAGAAAATGAAGAAATGAAAACAGTTGTAACAGTATTTTGATACAAAACAGGTGTCTCTTTTTAAGTAATATTTTCCATGTATCATAATATACTTCTGTGAAAATACTACTTCTCAGCATTGTACTTACCCAGTACCACTGAAAATGTGACTTTCTATTGGTTACCTAACAGGTATTTGTTTTACAGTGCAACATACAAGTACTCGTGCAATACAAAACAAGGTCTGAGCTTTCCTAGCAAACAGCCTCTGAAGAGCTCCTCTACTGAGACCTTCTGTGTCTACATAGACGAGAAGAAATTCTGCTTCCCTTGAATCTCATGTTAAAGCAGATCAGTAGCTAGAAGCATGTGGCTGCAAACCTTAATTACTGTTCATATTTAAGTTGGTTTTTTTTTTAAGCAGAAATTAAAAGCTGAAGCAGAATAAAATGCAATCTGAGACAGCTGTAACTGGAGTTTCAACTTTTCTGACAAGTGAAACAGAACAGAAAGAAAACCATAAAAGCAGTGGCAAAATCGTCATGCTATTAAAAGCAAGTGTCCACTGTTAGAATTATTTAAACCGTATCTGTGAATATGGAAGTGTATTTACTTACATGTTTGTTGTGAGATAAAATGCCAACAGATAATAGTGTTCTGGCCCTAGACTAAACATGAAAGCAGCAGCTACTCCTTCAAAGTAAAAGGAAAACAAGATGATTCTGTAATAACCCAACTTCTTCAACAAGGCTTGACTGAGAAGAACAAGGCACTGAAAAGAGAATAAATATACATATATGATGAAAAGATATAGTACAACATCTGAGCATTAGGAGATCCATAAAGCACAGACCAGACAAATTATTACTACCCATTGAAGAAAAAAAAACCCCAAACCCAACCTTCTCTAAAAATTTAAATTCAAATAAGAAAAATAGGAATTTAACAGAGATCTACTGGCTCATTCTATACTACCTCTACAAGGTAAGACTGGTCTCCTTTCACTCAAAATTAGCCAGCTGCGAACCACTATATCCTGAGAAAAATACTGTCTCCCACATTGCCTAACTATTATTTAATACACTCATGTTCTTTATGTTTGATATCCCTTAAATAATTAACTTTGTTAACTGTAAACCACACATCTTGCCATCTGAATTTTAACTGCTGATAAAAAATATTTTAAATTATTTTTTCATTAATATTACTATTTTCATTGATGTTTATAGAAATTAGGCTTGACTTTTAATTTGATAAAACAAGCTCACCAAGACAGCTGATCTAAGCAAGTTAGAGGCTTCACTAGCAAGCAGAGAAAGGCAGATGCCCATGGACAACATGTATGGCTGCATTTTAATTCTACCAATCTTAGCAAGCAGTAATCCAAGTGAGAAACTAGTAACAGGCAAACTCATGAAAATGGTATTAAGTGCTGATTATAGTATGAGCAAAGTGTAAGCTCTTCTATATCGTTGCTCACTTTCCACTTTAAAGAGGACATTTTGTAATGCATTATTTTCTTTTTCTTGTATGAGCCTATGTCACCATCTACATGGATGCGGTCCTCATCACTGTCACAAAAAATACTCATAAACTCTACGAAAATACACATTTTCTCTTTCCTTCTGTGATAGAGATCAAGAGTGTAATATTCAGATGAAGAACAGGAAAGAATTCTCCTTGTACATTTGTTCCCAAATTTAAATGCTTTAACGTAAGAAATAAAAGCAGGATGCTACAGTCAGACAAAGATTACTGTGTCAAATGCTATTTTAAAGAAGCTCAAGTTTTTTACTTAAACCAGTGCTCAGGGAGGTAAAACAAATCTGGAAAGTTGGTGTAAGAAAAAACTCTGGTTGTAAGGAACTTAAACATACACCTCCCCCTGGCCTTTTCCAGGCATTTTGCAAAAAAGTTGTTTACACCAGAAATAGTAAGGAATTAAGTAATGCCTGTTATTGTAAAAATCATGTCCTTGTCTCCCTATAATTGAGAAATAACACTGACTCAGGACGTACTTATGATTTAGAAAATTCCTTATTACCTGCATGTTTCTAAGACTGCATATTTCTAAGAAAAATACTAACTTAATGATGCAAATTTAAATTTGTCTATGTTTCAGCAACAAAGTTTCCCTTGTAGTCAGGTTTTATTCTTCACACCCACTACTAAAAAGAACCTAAGACAAAAGCTGAATTCTAGTTTAGCACAGGCCACTGCAGCACAGTTCACATGAAGGGACTTTATTTTATGTGGGTTGGGTGCTTTTCCAGTAAGTGAAGTTCAGGACATTGCCACCAGAGAATTCTCTTATCTCTTGAACTCAAAGGGACAAAACCTGAGAAAAATAAGGTCACAGCAAACCCTCTACAGTTCAGTGACCTTCTAGACAAAGAGGCTCTGGGGAGCAGAAAGAGATGCATTTTTTGGAAGATTGTGTGTTTCACATTGTCACACTGATTTTTATCAACAAAAGTGATTGCTATATAGAGAGTGTAAAATTATTGAAGCTTTCCTAACTTCTGTAGTTTCTGATTTATTTCCAAAGTTCGTCAACTAACTGAGTTACAGAAAAAAAAAACAACACTATTAAACCTGTGGTAAGGATAAAAGTTGAAGTGATAGATATTTAGGATTTATGGAACACAGAAGGTATGTTTAGGATTTGTATGTTCATATGCAAAAGCCAAAGCAGTAACTGAAACTGAGCTGTGAATTCCAGTTGCACTTTCATGTATCTTCTTTTACATATTACTTACTGAAAGCCATTACAATTTGATGAACATAATTCTGAAAACTGATGAACAAAATTCTGAAAACCATCAGCACTTATGATGAAAGTCAAAGTAGTCAAAATCCTAACTTTCATCATCCAACAAGTAAACACAGTGAAAGTTTTAAAACATCACTGAAAGAAGTTAGAAGGGAACAAGCAGGAGAATTTTTTTATTCACTGCAGACAAGTATGTTTACATTCTGTGGGACATATTTTTGCTGCTTTTCTTGTTCTCACACATTACTTGTTTGGCTTTTCTCTTTTCTTTTTTCCTTCATTATTCCTCCCTCCACCCCTGACTGGGATCTTGAAAGTATGTCTCTCTCTACCCAGTAAACGTAGCTGACCAGGACAGCAAATGACAAAATAAATGGGAACATATTATTCTCCAAAAGCAGCTATGTAGAGTTTTGTTTGTTTCCCATAACTGAGATACCACATAGTTCAACATTGCTTTTAATACCTAATAATTTTTCAGGTATTTTGTTGCAGTTTATCTCAAAAACTTTCTGAATAAGAGATTATTCTTTCATCATGTATTGCGAATCAAAACCAAAGAGAAACTAATTCAGAATTATATGCATTTTGCTTTTAGAAACTTTTTATCTTGACCATGTTTTTCATTCCTTTATCCGTAGGTATTGTAAACCCTGTAGGATACAAAACATTCACTCCTTGCATACTTGTATCTCACATTCTTGTAAACAGATATTCTTATTCTACACTAGCCTACCTGCTTATGCTTTCTCACTACCCTATGCTTACATTTGGTTAGCCTGTACACAGAAGTACTTCCTTCTTTTAGAGCACTGGTGAGCTAGATTCGTTTCTCAGTACAGCCAATGGCTTATGCCAGATGCAGCATTTTTTCAATGAACAGCATAAATGAATATCTTAAACTAATGAAAACTAGTAAAACCCCACGTTTTCATATTTTGAAATAAAAAAGGGCAACTGCCTACCTGAGGACAAATAAAGCCTGCTCCATACATGATACTTCTTATTGAGGAAGAAAGGACATCCTTAGGGATAAGATTATCCGCAAAGATCATGATAAAATTGTTGCAGAAGGCTAGGTGGAAGACTTGGAAGAAGTTCATCGTTACAAAAAATAAAAAGTTTTTCTCTGTCATAATCTGTTTGGTCAGTAAAATTACTGAGGACCAGGAGAGGGCTCCATCACCATTTTCCAGATTAGCGTTCTCCATACAAATTTCTCTCTGCTCATATTGACTAGTACTATATTTGCCTGTGTAACACATACAAACTGTTGCTAACGCTGCAACCAAAACAGCAAAAGCCTGAAAATGGGCAAATTTTTCCATATTATCTGATATGAGACCACAAAAGAGAATGCTTGTTGATCCAATTAATGTTGCTACTTGGTTATATTTAATAAGCTGAAGCCTACTTTCATGCCTTGTTGAAATTTCTGCAAAGAGGGCACACTGCGCTAGAAGCACAAATGTAAGCAAACTGTCAAAAGCACATAACGCAACAGTGAGGTGAAGACCACTTAGCCAGTCACCTTCTTCATAATGTTTCCAAGGAAACCAAGGAAGCAAAAAGGCTAACGCATATAAAGGAGCTCCATATAAAATTGAAAACTGGCGTCTTGAGCAGCACTTGAATTTGGAGTTATCTTGAATATACCCAAAAAGAGGATCATTAATGGCATTCCATATCATAAATACAACCTGTGACAAACAAGCAAGAAACACAACAGTATTTATCATTAGTGTGATTTTTCTGCAGAGGTTAGACAAACACAGAAGTAATACACACCATATTTATTTAAAACAAATCTCTATTCAAAGAATAAAGATGAAAGCTTCTCAGGTCAAAACAGACTCCAGACCAAATTCTTAAAGGTATTTAGAGGTTTACAGAAATTTTGAGAACCAAGATGAGTAAGTAGGCAGGTGCCCAACTACACATGAAATAGACCCCTGTCTCTAAGACTTCAGTCCTTCAAAAGCTTATGTATCTTGACTTCGATCTTGCAAAGCCCAGATATTACTTTCACAGCAATTCAAAACATGAGTTGGCCCATTACTTTCAGGAGACCATTTACAACAAGAGTTGCTCACGTGGACAATGACTTGCAGAATAAAGGCAGTATTAAAGTACTTAAACAGTCCACGGGAAAGCACTAATGCCAAACATATCTATGGAGCTGAGGTGCAAGATTAGTTTAGAACATTACTTAAAACTATCAAATGTAAAAATCTTTCCAGCAATTAAATTCTGGAGATTTTTAGTCAAAAGACTGTAAATGATGTGCTTTATGTGTACCTTCGATTGCTTATTGATTAACTAAATTTAAAATTAATTTACTGCATAACTACATGCAATGCATCCAAAATTCATTCATAAGTTAAAAAATTTACTTTCTTATGATAACACAGACACATAGCACAACATGGTAATAAAAATATTCCTCTGTACAATACCTGTGCTTGATGAAATGCTACTTCTGAAATTTTGTATCGGTTTAGGAAAAGCTTAACGTAGTAGAAATTAAAGATACTGTTCATCATTCCAGCACCTAATGTAGTCATGGAATATGCCAGCGCATTAGGATGAATCCCCAAAACAAACTTCATCTTCCATAAGTACAATGCTCTTCTTCCTCAAGTTACAAAAAAGAATCACAACAGTTGGTAGAATAATTTTCCAAATTAAAGCAACATGGAAGATTTGCTTGTTTCAGGGGTGTAGAAATGCATTCTTAGAGGAAAATTTACCCATTCTTACTTCTTTCTTTTTTAAAATGAGAAACACATTTTACTGAGTTGTGAGACACCGAGCACAAAACTGAAGAGATGCAAAATATGAAGAAGTCAGTGACATTTCTAAATATAATCAATGCTTAAAAATCAATTTAACAGGTAGACAAAAAAAAATAAATTAATCCCTTATTAACTGGTGCACAGACTCAATATAAAAATCTGCTATTGCAAACAATAATCTTTGTGTACAGTTCAAAGTAATTGCATTACATTTTACATCTTTCTGGGTAGCTACATAGTTTTTAAATTATGGACTGTGTAGGAATGAAGTGACTCAATTCATATCCTTATGTATTCCATTGCTATGAATGTCAAATGCAGCATGCACTTTGATGAATATTTCTTTCAAACAAATACCAAGTTTTGTCCTTGTATTTTTAAATGCTAATTGTTAACAAGCCATAGAAGTAATACTCTCAACTAATAAACTAATGAGATAGGAATAGAAACCATAAAACATGAATAGAAACAATAAAACAATCAAAACACCTTCTAATAGTTTAAACACTTCATTGTATAAAAGACTGCATGTAAATAAAATCTAGCAAGTAACACATGTACAGCATTTAAGGTAAGTCCAAAGAACAGAGATTCAACCCAAGAATATAGAGATCTTTAGTATTTCAAACAGATCTTCAGCCAACAATTTTTTAAGATGCTGACTGTTTCCATCTATCTAGGAATTAACTTCAACATGTTTGGTATAAACTATCCCATGAAAATTACTAGCTCCAGGGAACCTCTACCTGTTAAAGCTGAGTAATGACTACCTAAAGGTAGTTCCTTGACCACATTTGATTCTATAAGCCCAACACAGAAATACTTCTCCCAGGTATATATTTTAACTGAGGCTTTACTCATCTTTACATCTATTTGAAAGAAGCTGTCTGCCATTACTCTGGCAATACTTCAGGTTCAAATTTCCACCTTACTATGCACACTAACTCCAGAGCTTTACAACCTGCTTTTTGACAATAGTCCACACTTTTCTCCTCTGCATATTAACAGTTTTATCCTAAATGCAATTTTCAAACATCCATCAAAATACTTAGTTTGAATATCTGCTCTTCAGCTTGATAAGCAGATCTATCAGCAGCTCCCTAAACTCCTCGTAAGAATGACCATGAAAGAAACAGGAAATGAAAACCAAGGCTGTTTACAACATTTCTGTGGTTTACAAAGTTTCTGAAAACAGGCTGCTGTGAGGAAAAGATGGCAACTTCCTCATCGCCAGGCGAGGGCCAGGCCAAAGCCACAGATCAGGTAGAGACTGCGAGAAGTGCCTGTTCTGGCTAAAACAGATGATGGAACAGCAGTTTTTCCACCCCCCCAACACAGAAAATGAACTCTTGAAGAGCAACTAAAACATGGATGGATTTTTGTGCATATATTTAAGATGCTCTAATATCAAACAAGATGTGAAGAATAGACAACTTCACTTAAGAAAAAAAACAAACAAGCTGACAAACAACTTGAACCAGGTTTCTTTTTTTCTAAAGCCAACTAATTTGTAAGAATGTGACTGAATTTTTAGATATTTGAGGATGACTGTGACATACATTTTTATTTTTCAGAGAGCTACAGCTGTAGAAAATTCCATTTTCAGGTGATGAAATATTGCATTTTTGTAACAAGTTTGATTTCACAAACTTTTACTCAGAAACCTAAAGTGAAGAATAAGGTTATTGAAGAGATGTCCATTTGAAGTGTTTGTTTTCAAAAATAAGTTTGATATTACTGTGAAAGTCATTACAGTATATCACTTCTTTAAGAAGTGCATGCTCAAGCCCTCACAAATATACTTAACAAAGTGATTTAAGTAATAGATATTAAGGCATTTGGAAACGTAAACATTTAATCTTTCTTCCTGGAGCCCCCTACACAGGTCTTCAAATGGAAAATTGAGACTCCTCTTTCCCTCAATTTCCATGAGCACCAAGAATAAATACATTTCACTCTAACATGAACAGCAAACTAACAGTCATTTCTCAAATCATGTTTGTCTCAATTCTTTCCTACACACAAACAAAAAAGGACTCCCCAGCTTCATAAAATTTGAAAGAAATAAATCTGAAATTTCTTCAACACAAACCTTCTAACAATGCACAAACAGGCCTCTAGTGCCATGACTAATTATAATATGCAGGATCTGACACAACTCTTTACACTAATTAGTACATCTGGCTCTGTACCTTGTTTATGAAATAGGTTCAATTAGAAGTTGAGGTACCACACTTCCTTTCCCAGAAGATGTGCTCTTTAATTGTACTACAATGAAATCATGCATGAGTATCCCCTCCCTCTTCTTAATAGTCAGACTTTATATTGAATAGGTTAAAGCACAGGTGTTGACATTTTGTGACTCACAGAAGGCAAATCAGGTTCAGAAACTTCTAGTGGTTACAACTATGTTAATGCTGATGAGCCAAAAGAACAGACTGTTTAAACCAGCGAGGTGCAGTATGACATTACTTGCATCTCTCCCAAAGCCGGATGACAATCACTTCAAGAAACCAGAGCACGAGTCTAAAGAAAAGTGGATTCCCAAGAGGTAGTAAATTTTGACTGAAGCATGCTAGCTGGCATCACGCCCTGCCGTACTGGGTCCCAAACTGCAGCGTAATGCTCACAGTCCTGACAAACTGGTTGGACCCAAGTATCTTCCTCATCTTTCTTCCATTACTTAAACCACTTGAAGACGAACTATGAATAAATGCTTTCCTAGTCCCGAGGGGTAATACTAAAGGGAAACGCAAACAGAAAGCACTCGGAGTAGGAGGGCGTGGAACTGGTTGAGTGCCGCCACTCTTCCCAGCCCGCGATCCTATAGCTGCCCACGCGCCGTAAAGCTGTGACTCCTGGAAAGCACAGGCTCTGGAAACTCGCAGGACTGGAAGTTGGGAGGTGCTCGCCTGGTAAAACTGGGTAAATCAAGCTAGGTTTTCCTCAGCAGCTTCCCAGATACGAGACACGGCTCCCTCTTCCTTGTAAGGAAGAGAGGCGAGCGGCGACCACCCGAGCGACTCGCGGGGATGCAGATCGCCGTTTGCAGATGCGAGGGCAGCTACCCCGGCCGCATGCTCCAACGGAGCCTGGCTCTCCTCTCCCCTCCCGCAACCTGGCGCCGAGGCTCCCCTGGGCGCGACGCCGGTGAGAAGCCGCGGCTCGGGGGCCGAGCCCCTCCTCATCAGGCTCTTCACTCAGCACTCCCCGCGGGCTCACACCACGGGGCAACGAGGAGCTACAGCTTCTTCCTACGCCCAGTCGCCCTACCCCACCCCGGGCTGCGCTAGCTCTGCTCCGCCGCAGACCCACAGGAACACCCAAACAACAAGCACTCCCCACCATTTTCCCCCCGGAGCCTCAACAACCACCACCCCCCCACCATAGACACTAACCCACCTCCTCTGACTGGAGGCTGCGCAGCTGGCTGCCGGGGAGGGGTATAATTAGCCCGGGCCAACCTTCGCTTCGTTCTCATTGGCGGTTTGATATGAACTCGCTTTGTGATTGGTGTAGGCTCCTTTCGATCTGTCCGGCGGGCGGCTTCCCATTGGCCTCCCGCAGGGGAGGTGAGGGTGTTGTGTTTGAATCGCGGGGAGACGGTGGGCGGGCGGCTGTAGCTTGCCACGTTGTCGCCGGCAGCTTCGCGCGCCTCGACCAGAAGGGGGAGAGGTTCGGCAAAGTCCGGAAGCGCTCGGCAATGGCCGGAGGCGGCTTTTAAGGAGAGGAGCGGCTGCCGGCTTGCCCTGCTCCGCTGTCGCTTGGCGTGAGAGGACTCGTTTGTGTGGGCGCTGGCCGCCTCATCCTCCCGCCGCGCCGTGAGGGGAAGGGGCGCGATGCTGGCTGACAACCTGGTGGAGGAGTTCGAGATCCGCGAGGATGAGCCTTGGTACGACCAACAGGACCTGCAGCAAGGTGAGCTGGGGCGGGGGAGAGGGAACGGCGGCGGACGGCGGGGAGCCGCCGCCGCGGGGGGCGTGTGAGGGAAGAAGGGGCTGTGGCAAGGAGGGCGTGTGAGGGAAGGGAGTGTGGCGAGGGGGACTGTATGAGGGAAGGGGAGGTGAGGGGGCTGTGTGAGGGAAGGGGCTGTGGCGAGGGGGGCGTGTGAGGGAAGGGGCGGTGAGGGGACTGTGTGAGGGAAGGGGGTGGCGGGCGGGCGCAAGGCACCGCCAAAAGCGGCGGTGCGGAGCCCGGGGGGGCGCCGGGCGCTCGGGCGGGGCGGGGGGAAGGGCGTGAGGGGGCCGAGGCCGGCGGTGAGGGTCGCGGGGCGGCGGCGGCGGGAGCGGGGCTTGTTCCACTGCACGGCTCTAGCCGGGAGCCCGGGCTCCCCTCCCGGCCGTGGTTCCCGCCGCACTGGGCGCGTAGGCAGAGGGATCGCTGTTACCGATAAAGATTGCAGCCGTCTTTGTTTGATGGAAGAGGTTGCTGCAGCCGAGTTGAATTGTGTCTGGGCCCCTCCGCCGGGAGGGAGGTGGCTCTCCGAAAAGTTGCACCTTGACAGAACGTAGAGCTGCTCTGGGCAGGCGCTGGGTATAGCGGGCGCTGGAATCATCGGGGTGGGTTGCTGTATTGTGCTCTGTTGAGCCTTTTTGTAAAGACTTCCAGTCGGTGAAGTTGTAAATGTAGCTGTGTTCACTTAGTTGCAGGTCCATTATTAAAACTTCCTAAGCTTTCTTCTTAAAATATACGAATAACTCCGCTATGCATCAGAATTATGCATATATAGCTCTTGTATGTCATTCTGTCAGTATGTCTTAAAAGTCTATAGGCAAAAGGTAAATGCTATTCTCATTCCACAGATGAGGAAGAAGTCACAGGAATACACTAAGTATAACTGCACTTAAAAATCTTCTACAGACACGATATGGAAAGAATGTGCAATTTCCTTAAGAGCTTAGTGGCATTTATGACTGTTACTTACTTAGTTCTACTTTTTGTTATTAATCTTGAGTTAGTTTTAAAAGGCCAGCTCAAAGCTGTGAGTGAGGTGGCTTTCTGCAAACCTGCGCCAGCCATATGCTTTCGGCTTTTACAGTGAAGTACGTGAATTCTTGGGACTGGTAGGTGCTACTGTACTATAAACCATAAAGAAAGATACATTTGAAAGCTCTCCCTAGTGAAGCAGTTTTCAAACTGAGATCAGGCATGTGACAGCAGAAGCTTTTCTGGAGACAGGAATAGGTCTCTAATTGTATGCTTTGACTATAAAATAGCTAACTGTTTGAAAGCTTTATTTAGGTACTCTTTACTTGAAATAGATGTTTTCATGGCTCTAGGATACAAACCAATCAATTTAAATAAGATCCTGAAACCCTAGTTTGCTGTCAAAGGGAAGAGTTGAAAATTTGAAGGCATGATTTAGCAGTGTTTTTACTACATGTTTGTGCTGTAGAAGACCTAGGAAGAGACTTCACGACGTATAGCAACTGACTTCTTGCCTTGTTAATGTTTCTTTAATTTTTTAATTAAAATGAGTGAAATAATCACCATTTGGCTCCCTGCTGTGAACTTTTAAGAAACAGTATTCCATTCTAGAGGTTAGTGCATTTTGAGGGCTGGTTAATGCTCTCTCAACATTTGAACAATCTTTTTCTGGGGATTATCTCTTTACAAGCCTAAATTGAAGTGACTGATAGCCTTGGCAAAAGGGAAAGGAGGAAAATAAACTGATGGGCAAGTTGTAATGCAAAGAAGAAATTCCTTAGAGGAATGTTTGTTTAAATGTTCTGTTATACTTTACTCCCAGAGTCTGGAAGATACTCTTCCTTCTCCTGAGACTGAGCAATACCAAAGTATGTAAACAGAGTAGTAAGATTGCTTAAGTATCAAGGTCGCTTGAAACTTTTCACAAGCCGTTTGTGCACAAGTAAAAACTGAGGAGTACGTTTATGAGAAAACCTAGGTTGTAAAATCTTAGGAAGTGCCATGAAGCAAGATTGTAGTCCTTGTCAGTCAGTCTTTGAAACATGAAATTGGGGTAGGGTTTTGGAAAAACTTGGACAGTCTTTGTATGTACCAAAAGCTTTTGCCTTAACAATGGAGGTGGGCTTTTCTGGCATGCTGTTTATGGGAACAGAATACTCATGGAATTCTTTTAAGGATGGGAACAGCCATTCTTCCTTCCACAAGATCCATGTTGTGATGCAGTATGCTGACCTTTGAAAAAGAATTTTTATATGACTGCTCTTTTTCCATCTTGCTTTTAATTGCTTTAACGGAACAGAAGGTAATCTGAACATGGAGTATGAAATATAAAGCTAAGTAAAAAAAAACCTCAAGGGGTTAATTTTATAGTTAAGTAAACTTCAACCAGGCTTACTTATATATCTTGCACTAATACCTTTTGCTGCTGAAAAAAGCAGGCATATTTTTACATTGAAAATTCTCTGAATCATTTTGTTCGGTGGGTTATGAAAAAGTAGAAGGATTTTGGCACTGTTTTTATTTTTTTTCTCAATTATAGTAACTGTCAGAAGAGATTGTGGAGAAGTGCTGGTAAGTGAGGGCTGTTTAACATCACAAAATACTTATCCTTGAAGTCTTAGTTTAGAGATTTCTGATGGAGCTGTTAAAACATCAGTACAACTGATCAGATTTACTAAACCAAAGATCTTAAGATCTGCACATATGCAGTTTGCATTATTAAAAACCTCTCTGCTTACATACATCTTCATGGTAAAAAGGAAAAATGTGTGTGTGGCAGAACTTCGCTGTTACTTTACATAAATTTGCAACCAAAAATGCATTGTGCTTCTAGTATTGTACAGTAACTCTGCAAGAGAAAGGTAAACCGTTTTTATTCTTAATCTGGAGAACGTGTATATATATATTGCACATATTACTCTCAAAATTTGCTCTTTATAGTGTACTTAATGTAGAAAAATGGACACAAAGCAAATTCTTACTTTTATAAGAGGTGAAATTGTTTCAGTTCCTGCTTTCTTTAGGGGTAGGAGTTAGGGTTTTATTGCATGTTCCTGAGCTCTTCCACTTGTCTTTTACCCCTCAGAAACAAATTGCCTTAATTATAAAATAGCATGCTTCTCCCATAGTAACTCATTTGTGCTTCTGCCATTCTAATGAACAGAATGAGTGTGTAAGTATAATGACATGAATTCTATTACTTCCATTGTATTCAGAGTACTGTGTGGTGTGTGCTACTTGATTTAGTAGATGAGGGGGCATTTAAGATTGAAACTACCAACTCCTAAATGTACTTAAACTTCAACACAAACCTTCCCTTTGGGAAGGGAAATGGCAGCAAGTAATTCTATTATGCATTACATCTTTAACATAATCCTAAATCTTCTTTAAAGCTCTTATTCTACTCTAATAAAATAAAAGAATGGACTATTTAGTCTTTGCCTTGAATGATGCCGGTATTGTTCATTAGCTTTACATATTGTGGTTCCGAGTAAAGATTTGTATAGTATGAGAACTTAGGGATCAGGACTCCATTTTATACAGGATGACAGATTCACTGAATTTGAAGACTAACATATTTCATCATGTGATAGAACAAACAGCTTGATGTTTGAATGGGAGTTATTCTGTCCGTGGGTAAACAGTATACAATCTCCATTTAAAAATGGGAAAAACTTAAGCAGAAGGCCTTAAGATTTCCTTACCCAAATACTCTGAACCCCAGCTCTAGAGTAGGCTGTGTTTCTTAACAAGTGGTGTTACAATGAAAAAGCTATGTGAGGATAAACTCCTAAGTATAGATCAGTATGCCGTGTGGCTCTAGTCATACAGCTTCTGAAACTGAGGAACTCCCATGCAGTGTTTTTTGTTTATAATAATTTTTGTGGCATTTATTCTAAGAATCTGACCTTAAGGTAAGAAACAATGCACTGGAGCTGTAAAGAATGTGTAAAGAATACCACAGCTGTTGTTTTGCCAGAATTGGACATCTGCAACTTAATAGACAAATGTTTCTACTCACCCGTCCTTGAAGTCTGAATTTGGTCTTTCGCTTATGTGTGTAGATGGAGTAATCATTTTGGATAGGCTGCCAAACTGAAGGTTAGCACAAAACAATCCTGGAACAGTGTTCTATCTATTACAATGACTAGCTGATAAGATAATTGGGAAAGGGCAGGAAAGAGGTAAGATAACATGTTTAAACAAGGGCATAGTAATCAAATGAAAATGGAATGTGTTTTCTCATCTAGCTAGAACTACTGATGATGCAATACACGTCTCGTATTAATTTAAGTCTTCATGAAGTGAATCTAAGTTTTACTTGACTTTTCTGTCTCTCTCCCATTAGTGATGCTAGTTCTATGTGAAAACTAACAAGATTGTATTACATGTATGCAGACGACAACTTGGTCATGGTCCAAGTGATGGGAAGGAGGTGGAAAATCAGAGATTTTTAGAAATCTGTTGGATTCTTAACATGTAATACCCTGCACAGAGTAATTACAATTTTAGCAGTAACACCAGGATTTATTTCTTTGTCGCATTATGTTAGCTTTTAAATTACATGTCTTTAAACTTAATACAGAATATTTAGGACTACTGATACTGTTGAGCAAATATCAAGCTTCCCTCTAGAAAGGAACTAAGTGTTCAGATGACTTATTTCTTAATTTGAAACAACTACAGTCACTGTACCCTGGAGGTGATTGAAGATGACTGATGTGAAATTGAGATTAAGTGCCTGAGAACAAATGACATTTAAAATGATGTTTTGGAGCACATAAAACAATTCTTGTCTCCTAGCTTTATGAGCTTGAAAAGCAGAATAGCTACATCTCTTTATCAGTTTTATGTCTCTTGATATTATTGTTTCACCATAAAAAGCATCTGAAATTTTCATTTAGCACTTTGATCTGGTGTGACCTGAGCCCCTTGGTGAAGGGGTAATGGGGAAGAACAGCAAAGTAAACAAGAGTGCAGTCAGCTTTGGCTTGGGTCTAGCCTGACGAACATTACAGGGTCTTTTATGCTTATTCTAAAATATGAGTGCTATAAGCATGATGAAACGTGGCTGACAGACAGCTTGGGTAGAGATGCTGGTACAGTACTAGGCAGATGGTGGGAAGTGAAGAAAAGGCTGGATGTGTCTGATCTGTGGCTGAAGGACCAAAGGAGGATCTAAGGAAGCTTCATGAAATAAGAGTATCTTTTAGGTTTCAGGACTGACTTAGACTTCCATTATAGATGGTATATGAATGTTCTACTTAAGTATAAGCTAACTTTCTGTTTGGGTACTGGAAATAAATTAGAGCAGTTACGACAGCAATAAAAAACCCACCCAAGTATTTGATTAAAGTGCTTTAAAATTAATTATATTATTGGCTCTATAACTTACCTGCAAACATGGTTTCTTTGTTTAGATCTTCACCTTGCTGCTGAGCTTGGGAAGACACTACTGGATCGTAACACTGAACTAGAAGAATCTTTACAGCAAATGTATGCAACAAATCAAGAGCAACTGCAGGAGATTGAGGTAAACATTTAAGGGATCCAAGTGTTAAAGCATCTAGATCTGTAACATAATAGTTGAGATGAACACGTAAGTTGAGATCTGAGTTTCTTGACATCTGATGGATGCTTTCAAGAAAAACACTGAACAATCTTTAACCGCTTCTGCTACTTTGAGAATTTGAGAACCTGTAGGCTTGATCATAGTTAGTACCGGTTGTGTGGTTACAGGAAGCTTTGTGCCATTAAACTTCATGTTGGATTTGGCTCGTTTAAATGACAAAAGACTGGTATTTTTCTTTATGTACAGAAAAGTTACTTCAGCTGTCTTATTGCTAAACTTTGCTGATCTTGCCATGTAAAATGACTTAAATTATATGATGATAAATAAATTAACAATTTAAATTACTATATGAAAATGTTAGTGATTACAGCACTGAAATGTAAATGGTAGTAAGTGCAGGAGAGAGATTTAAGTAAAATCTGAGGATATGTACTTCCACTAAACTGAGCTGTGGTAAAGGGAGCTAAAGTCTATTTCAATTAAAAAAACCCAAACAAACAAAGCCCATCAAAACAAACACTTAAATAGTATCTAAATACAGGACCTAGTGGATATATTGTTCTGTATTTTCCAGGAAATAAAATCATAAACACCCTTTCAGAACCATTCATGTTTGTGTCACTTGGTGGAAAAACCTGGCCATTTTTGGCAATTTCTTTTTTTCTTAATATTGCCTGTGTCCTTGCAGACATAGGATTTGTCAGCATAATGAATTCTTTTTTAGCTATTAGAGGGCAGTGCATGGCCTCTAATAATTAAATGATTAAATATTCAGTACTTTGATTGACAGCATATTAGAAATGTAGTCAGCATTTCAGTTTGGTTCTGCTGCGAATCATAGGGAACAGGCTGCGACTGGTACACACTAGATTTTTACAAAATCGGAGTTCCATTGTGCAAGCTGTACTTACGCAGTTACGGATGGTGTGTGGATTTTGTACAGCTGCAACTTAAGACTTAAAAAAAAAATGGTGCATCTGTGTTAACATGACTACTATAAAGACTCCTGTATATCTGTAAGTATTAAGCTTAGGATTCAAGTTACCTATTACCACTACAATGATAAAGGTTTTATGTGATGCACAATTTCTGGGTGCAGGTGGTTGTTTTTTTTCTTTTTTAATAAGATAATTCTGATTTGTACATCATACTTTGGCTCTTTATGTGCTAAATGTCTTCGTTACCCTATTTGTTCTGTGATAAAATGGTTGGAATGGCTGATGTTTATCTTAGTGCCACAGCATTACAAAAATTGTATTTACTTATGCAGAGACTTAAAATAACTCATTGCCATGAATGGTTTTTATAAAAAGGTTAATTCTTAAGATTTAGAGAGGACAAACACTTCAAGATGCTATCCAAATACTGTTCTACTTAAGGTTCAGCACCTGTATGAACAACCATATTTAAGGAAGTGTTTAACAGGGTTACAACATGCCGTTTGAAATAACACAGCATAATTTTGCAATAGATAACTAATCTGGCTCATTGAGTGTAGCTACTTAATAAGCAGCTGTATTTTAATGCTATCATGAAATATTATTGAAATTACATATTTATGTTAATGTTGAAGTATATTATTGCTAAGCTGCATTCATTTATAGAAATAGCCTAGTGCTATTAAGGATATAATATCCTGTTGGTTTAAGCTGGTTATTTGATTAAGCTTTTTTTGGTGGGTTAGTGTTTGTTGACTACAAGAGAGCTTCAGCACCAGGAAGCGGTCAGAAGTGTCCTTCTAGCAGTGATCTGTAGTTGGTGTTTTGCAGGGCCACGTACTTCTGTGTTCAGGCCGCCTCAGACAGTGTCAGACTGATTTATTCTCTCAATATTTTGGTTTGCTTAGCCAATCAAAAAAACAAGTCCAGACTTATGCAATACTACTTTTTGAAGGCTTTAGCTGATACCTCTTTTCTCCCCTCCCCCAACATGCACAGGAGTGTGCATTAGGTTGCCCTATTAGCACCTTCCAAGACGAGGGGGAGAGAGGTAGGAGAACAGTTTTTGTGATGCATCTGACATATAAATAGTGCCTGCATGTTTGTTTGCCCAGCTTACTGTCTCGAGTCAAAGAACCTGTAGACTATTCGTATCTGCTGTAATAATATGCTGTCTCTGTTCTACCACCTGTCTTAATTTGCTCTTTTCCCAGTGCACTTTAAAAGTGTATTAGCAACTCAAAACATTTCTTTCTCCAAAGAAATCTCTCTTGCATCTGGACTTATGGTAGGAAAGGGGAAATCAAATGAGCCTCTTCTTCAAATACCCAGAGATAAGCTCAGGATGGAAGAACTGGATGTATTAGCTTACTGGAACAGGGGATTGTTACAGGAATTCACTGAAAAAAATGGGAAGAAAAACAGTATATGCAAGGTGCAGTACTACTTTTTAGCTCCTAAAAGCAACTCAGTTATTTTCATATCTAGATTTCTGTCTTTTTGGGGGAATGCAGGATACCCCACTGCACAGGGTACATACGCAAGTGGCATATCCGGTCTCTATGCTTGATTTTTCTTCCTAATTTTCAAGTGCTTGTCTCTGTAACCTAAAAGTGATCTTTCAGCTGTTCCTGTAACTACTCTGCTGCAGTTTTGACTAGCCTTTTCAGTGCAGTGTATTGGTGTAAGCCTTTGGATTGTTTTTTTTTCCTATTAATTCAAAATCTTACGGGTAGCAAGGTCTAGAACTGGATAAGAAAATATTCTGAAATATGGCACTACCTTATCTGCACTGAAAAGGAAGGGTCAAAGGTTTAGGGATGCTTAAGATTACATCTAATATATTAAACGCTAGCATATTAAGCATTTTATAGCCTTAGATCGTTATATCTGACCTCTGTGCTGACACGTGTGCCACTAACTAATCATTGTAGATGTAATAAATGCTAGATTGAAAGGGCAACTTTAGTCCTTTCTGAATTTCTTCTTGGCACTCTGACATGAGAAATACTGACACTCTCCTTTTACATGTGGTAGAACACAAGAAGTCTCAACTGCTGCTTCATGTTAGCTGCTCAGTTGCAGAGGAGGTGGAATAAACGTTAACTTCTAAAGTATTTACCACGTCTATTCTTTGTTTTGGTGGCCTGGTTATACCAGGCCCATTTGACCTCAGCACTGAAGATACTGGAGACACAAGGTGGAGAAAATGGTGTTTCACCTCTTCCATTCATCTAAAACTTCTGCAAAAGCCCATTGCATTAAGTGGCAACATCTAATTCTGGCACCAAAGTCTTGGTTTCTGGGTTTAGCCAGACTTGTGTTGCTGCAGAAAATCTGAGATCTCCAGCTCCTTCTGAGAATAACCAATAGGGAAAGTTAATCTGAAATGGGTCACATTGAGATTCTGCTGCTAATCCGTGTACTATTTTTGTGTAAATCCTCTTGTCATGTGTGCACAGGCTACAGAAGGATCTAGCCAACTGCTACCATGTTGATCTTCTAGAAGCCTGTATGTAGAAGTTACTAGTCCTAGATTAGCTTATTATCTGTTCTTAAATTGCCTAAAATGTAAACCCATCAATCTTTTAATGAGGTGAAAGGTTAAGTAGAATACTGGAAGTTTTGAGTATATAACAGGACTACATAAAGAGAAGTAATTCTGCCTAGAAATCTGCTGGATGTTCCTACCTAAAGTTTACTTTTCAGTAAGTAGCATGTAGTAATACAGAATATATTGCAAGAAATACATTTTGTGTAAGAACAAAGTATTTTAGACTTAAAGGGTTAGTTTTTTTGTTTAAGCCTGTTTTGATGCAAGCTCTCGTGGATTTTTAGAATTGGATAGGTCCTGTCCTGGGTGGGACAATATAAGACACTTGTATCAAGAGCCCTAGGTGATTGTTAACTGCCCTCAGACTAAGAATTCCAAGCTTTCTGGCATTATTCAAGAAACTTAACAGTCTATGTTGTTAATTGTAAAACTGAGGAGGATTAAAATGAGAATACTTAATGTAGGGTTTTGGTTTGGTTTTTTTTTTTAAAGGCAGGAGACCTTTATTTGGGATTACAGTAAGTGGAATAGCTCCCTGTGGGTAATTACACATTGAATTCAATAATTTGATTATACTTCCTGACACATAGTAGCCCACATACTCTCTTAAGTATGACCACAACCTAAATTCTGTTCTGCTGAACCTAATGCTGCTTCAGACTGGAAAACTTAGGTCATCTGAAAAGAAATTTAATTATGGATGGTGCTACCCAATATTTCAGTTTTAATGCGAAGAAAATTGTTGGGTCAACGCTGTTAGAAAATTTCTGTTGGGGCCCACTGCAACTTTTAGAAAGACTCAGTAGACAGTTAAGGGCTAGGCTGAAGTCTGGATTTAAGGCTGTGTCAGTGATGACTGCAGTACAAATCCAATCCAGAAGGCTTGGGTACTGGCAAAAGCCCAGCTGCAGCAAGGACAGATAAGCACAGCTTGCACAACCAAACACAACTCCTCTGGAGAAAAGGTGGGTTGGTGAGCCTGGGCTGACCTCCATGATGAAGCAAGCTGGCCAGCCACGTTACTGATAGCGCCTTTTCAACTGAACACTTAGCAAAGCAACCACTGGAATCAACAGTTCTGAAACTCAGTAGCTTCTCTATGAATGTGAATAAAAATGCAGAATAGTTGTCCTATCTTTGTGTTTCAAGTGTAAACTATTAACAGCAATACTGTCTTGCAGTACCTCACAAAGCAAGTGGAGCTCTTGCGTCAGATGAATGATCAGCATGCAAAAGTCTATGAACAACTGGATATGACAGCAAGAGAACTAGAAGACACTAATCAAAAACTAGTTGTGGAGAGTAGAGCTTCACAACAAAAGATACTAAGGTAACAGACTTTTACTAGATCCCTGCCCCCCCCTCAGTTGATAATATGAGAAAGAGCAGTCCAGGTGTATTTTTTGTAGTTACTGGGTGGCTGTCTCTATCTAGTGGTGTTCTACAATACTGTTAAATTGAAAGGATAGCTTATTTAAAAGTCTTTTGGGGCCAAACAACAGCCTTCAGAGAAGAAATTGCAATAGGTGGGGATGGGAAATTCCCATGTCCTTGAGTAAACACTCAGATGTTTTTAACAGCAGTCCTTCACCTTTTAGCTTAACAGAGACTATTGAAAATCTGCAAACACACATAGATGACCTGCAACGACAAGTAGAAGAATTGAAAAAGTCTGGACGAGGCCGGATGAACCATGAGAGATCTGACCAGCCAAGATCAATGCACAGTTTCTCATGTTTGAAGGAGCTGTATGACCTTCGCCAGTAAGACTTTTTACCTTGTGTAGCAAAGAGGGTACTGAAATTATTTTAGGCAAAGCTTTAAAAACTAAAACACAAGCAATCTAGCAGAAAAACATCTAATATTCACAACTAGCAAAATATCTGCCCAGTCCTGCACTGTGGTGTTGCCGCTGCTTCTGGTGTACTTCTAGAGCGCGCTAGTCTTTGTGTGAGAACTGCAGGTTCCACTTTGTCTTGGAAGGTTCTCTCCCAAAATCTCCAACCATGTCAAATTGTAGCCTAGAAAGCTCACAGCAATTTGCATCCCCTTTTTTCAGTCAGATAAAAGCACACACACAGATAATCTGAAAAACAAACATCCTAAATACAAAATATTTTCTGTAATTTACCCTTTGGCTGTCTGCGAATATTTTCTTTTCAAGGAAGGGAGGATTCCTGCAATAGCTTTCCTGAACTTAAGCTGGTTAAAATGATGCTTAAAATGCTCAAATGGTGCCTGGAGCTCTGGGCTGCTTTTGAAATTTTAAGCAGTTTTACTAAGCTGAACTGCATTAGTATGCCCATCAGGACAATCACCTGGGGTAAAAGCTCAGACTTGCTTCAATCCTAGAAGGTACTTACATAAGTGAAGCACCTCCACAGACAGGCAGAACAGGCTTTTGTGTCTGGACTTCAGCACTACTTGGAGGTAGGACTGTAGAATAAATCCATACATCCAAAAAGAAGCTATTTCTTGACAACTGAAAAGATAAGTGGATTCCTTCAAACTGCCAAAGGCTTGTGGGAATTCCTGCCCACGGAATAGCCTTGTCAGTTTTGAGGCTTGTGTACACAATCAGTGGTGACAAAAGTTACAAGAGTGGAGTCCTTAAGAAAAAATTGTGAGTATCAGCAAGTATTGTGTGATACATAGAGGCAACGTTTATTTAAACTTAAATTGTAAGTCTTGTTATTCAATAATCTTGTCTGTAACCTGAAACTGTTCACGAGCAGCCATTCTGCTTAAGCTGGGAAGCTTGATTTGAGGGCACTTAAGTATTTACAAACTCTGTTCTTATTAAATAGACTGGTAAGTTAGTAAAAGGACTGCTATGTATACTTTGAGGTGTGTTACCACACAGTTTAAATCTATTATTAGTTACCCAGGACAGAAAAACCTTAGGAGGTGTAGTCAGCTGTACTTCCTACATTTGATAATACTTATTTTGTTTCTGCAGGTATTTTGTTTATGATCATGTGTTTGCAGAAAAGATTACTTCGATGGATAGTCAGCTAAGTCCTCTAGAAGAAGAAAATGAGAACTTAAAAAAGGCAGTAACAGTTCTGCAAGCCCAACTTAACGTAGAAAAAGAGAGGAGAGTAACAATGGAAGAGGAATATAGTCTTATGGTAAAAGAAAACTGTGACCTTGAACAGAGACTTGTTGATATAGACTTATATCGGGCTCGTGCAGAGGAGTTGGAAGTGGAAGTAGCTGAAATGCGACAGATACTTCAGTCTGAAAACACATTCCACAACACAGAAAAATTGGTGCCAGAATCCTTTTTCATTTCATTCAAGGAATCTTTAGAAAGGGAGCTTGGGCAGAGCCCAGCAGATGATGGACTCCTGACTGTATCGGAGCTTGAGAAGAAGGCACTGAAACGGAGCAGCAGCGAATCTTTCCTAAGCAGTGCTGCAGGGGGAGACATCCTAAGGGGCCATGAAGAAACATGTATTAGGAGAGCGGAAGCTGTGAAGCAGCGAGGAATCTCTGTTCTTAATGAAGTTGATGCGCAGTATAATGCCCTGAAAGTGAAGTATGAGGAACTTTTGAAGAAGTGTCAAATGGATGAAGATTCTTTGAAACACAAGGCTGTACAAACGCTGAAGCAGTATTCCAAAGACCTAAATGTGGGGAATACCCAGTATGATCTTTCAGCTAGCAATCAAGAATTCACAGATGCGGAGCTAAGTGACTCTCCCACAAATGCTCTACCTGAATATAAAGCACTCTTCAAGGAAATTTTTAGCTGTATCAGAAAAACAAAGGAAGAAATAGATGAACATAGAGCTAAGTACAAGTCCCTCTCCTCTCAGCCATAACATTGGACATGCTGATGACCTGCTTTCTGTTATGACAGATCTGTTAGTCAAGAAGGGGAAAAACTTCATACAAAATGTCAGAAGACCCCTTATACTGATGTATTTCTTGAGCACTCAAAATGAATGTTTTGAATTGGCTTGTAGACCTGTAGTAACAAGCTAGTTAGTTAACAGCTAGTCTCCCTGTACCTATGTAACAATAGATTTAGTGTTGTTTAGCACTGTCACACAAACTAGTGGTTATAAAGCAAACAAACATCATAACTTAATACTACACTACTACTTCATACTACACTGAATCTGTGGCCAGGGCAGTAATTGACACTAGTTTCCTTAGTCCACTTCAAAAATAAGAGAGCGAAGAGATCTATACTGTATTTCTCACAAGGAACCAGACTCAAGCTTCCTCTGGTTCACAGTGCTGATCTAGCCCTGCACTACATCTCTCTAGAAAATTAACCCAAGGCCAGGCCCTGCCCAGCCCCGGGGCAGCCTCTCCACACTGGAGAAGGAAGCTGGCAGTCTGGCTTTGCTTTGGCAGGGAGGTGGAGAGCTGGCACAGCAGCCTGCACTGTACTTGGTTTAAGCTCATACCATGTTTTTCACATGCACTAAGCTCTCCCACAGATTAGGATGTATGTCTTCCTACTAAGAAAGGATTTGATGTAATGTTTGCGTGGCTGTTTAGGTATGGTTTCTTATGTAGGGCACTTCGTCTTAAGGCAAGATACTGTGAATTGATTATGTATGTTATTTGGGACCTACTGTTCTTTGGTGGAATGTCTGCAAAGTACATTTTTATGTGTATTTGGTAAGATAGAAAGTTGCAATTTAGCTATTTAACTTTAGTTGTAGCAATGACACAGTGGAATAGCTTGTAATCTCACATACCACAAACTCCAAGTGCTTGAAGGAGATGGGCCAGGTAAAATCTTACTGTATTGTTTTGTCTATTGCTTCCAGTGTTGGCTTCTGTGGCCCTATTCCGTGCTGCCTGGGGTGGGAGGATGGACACAATGCTGCCAGAACATATCCTACTGCAAGCAGGGGAGCACACTCCTGTTCTTCTCCTTTTCCACTCCCTAATAATAATAATTCATATGTATTCAAATTCTGAAAAACAAAGAACAGGGAAAAGTATGTTCTTAAAAACTGCTTCAAAGCATGAAGAAAACAAAGGCTAAGAGATGAAGTGGGGGAAAAGGCACAATGAAAGCTGACATCCTTTTCCTCATAAAGGGTCTTGTAGCTTAATTTAGTCAGCTGTTCCTGGGAATCAACTTACTGCCTGTCTGAGTTGCTGTGATAAACCACACAGCTGACACAGAATTTCTCAGCTTTAGTTCAACTGCTGCTGTTCTGTCTGCCTTGTGTTGTACCTGTTAAGCTTGTGTGTAACTGTCCTTCAGTTGCAGTATTAAGTCTTCATATTGTGGGAGTTTCAGAATGCAATACGTGTTTTAGAGAAAGTTATTTAAAAGTGGGAATCTGAAACTTGTGGGTATTTTTCCAAGCAAACAAATAATCCAGTTAAACTATCTGTATAACTAGTAATTATACCCACCTGTGCCAATCAGGAAACAGTAAACTTGGTGCAGATGGTACCTGCATTATCTAGTCTTGCCAGCTTTCCTCCATAGCTCAGATGGGATTCCCATTAAATTGGTATTTTAAAAATGCTAGGCTACATGGAAAAGGATAAGCCTGTCTAGGATAGAAGTCCAGAGAGAACAAAGCAGTTTCTCCTCATTGTTGTGGTGTTTGTCAGTGCTGTTCAAAAAGGGGGGCAGGGGGAGGCAGGAGAGATACTGTTCTGCCATCAGGTTAAGTGTATTGTCACTGCTTCCCTAAATAGAAGACATGTAAAAGCAAATCAGAATTTTTGGTTAAATAGGTGATCTTCAGTGGTTTATTACTGTTGGCTAATTTAGAGCACTATTCATACATACAATTTTTATGCTTTAAAAATAGCAAAACTGTTCTTAGGTTTCCGCAGCACTATTCTTCTGTAATGGAACATGCCATTGCTCTGCTCTGGCTGTGCTGTATTGTACTTTATCACTTAACTGCACATATTGTGCAACGAAACTCCAAAGCTATGTTCTTCTTTCAAAACTTTTCTGGGACTGTGGCCTTCCCTGAGAGCAGCTTTACAGCCGCAGCCCTCGGGAACGCTGTGGCAGTGGGCTGGACCGGGCAGGGCCCAGCCACGGCTGTGTGCCACAGACCAAGACAAAGGCTGCAAAAGCTGCCTGAACTTCCACCACCTCCCTGTTATACTGATGTAGTTAAACTACACCAGCTTATTAATTAAGGTAGAGTTTTAGCAGTTTAACAATAGATGTTTTCCACAGAAATGTGAAATGCCGTAAGAATGTTAACAATATTCTTAGCCAATCTTACCTGGATTAACTACCTTGATCTGCTTATTTTGGTCAACAACTCAACTCAGCCTTTTCTGAGCATAAGTAGATGAAGTTAATAGAATCTCCTTGAGCTTCTCATGTGATGGAAATTATAGCAAAGAACATGACCAGTAACATAACCATGTTCTGCCATGTGTACGGTAGAACATTCCTTATCTTACTGCAGTTAGGCTTCAGTGATAGACCTGTAACAAAAAGATTGGTTACTGTACCTTGGGCCCCAGGCCCTGCGCTTCACAGCTGCCTCTGGGTCCCCCCTAAAGAGCACAATGTGGGCAGAATGTTGGAAAGCAGTTTGTGATCTACCTCCACCCTCTACTGAAACATTCCTGTCCTTTCCTTCCTCCACAAGCCCTCAGGCTATGAAAGGAGCAGGTGCAGTTTCCATTTCTTCTTGGACAAATACAAGGCAGGGTAGAATTGACCTTCGAGATAAAATTTTATTTTAAAAAATTACACAAAATAGAGGTGTTGCTGTGTGATAACTACAGCTGGATGCCTTCTAGAGGGTGCACTCAGTTACTTACCTTGCTGTATTTGCTTACAGTAATACAAAAAGTCCCTCAAAATCCGCACCACTAGAAGAAACCCAGTAGTTGCACATCTGTTTCAAATGTAGGTACTTTTCCAAATAACTAATTTCACAGACAACAGGTGAGAACAGTTGCTATGTAGTACAGAGTTCACAGACAGGGATTTTGTTCCCCCCTTCCCTGGCCTGACACATTTCCAAGACCATGACTATCTTCTCTTTATGAAGAGGGCTGCAAGGGCTATTACAATGCTCAGACTAAAGTACGAGCATCTAGGTATTTAACAAAAACTGGGAGGTTTGTAAACAAATTTAATTTATTGGCATTACTTACAAAATAAAGTATTAGACCATGATTTTCCATCATGTCTGTGTCAGTATATGGTTTTATTTTTTTATAATAAAACAGACGAGAATTGAAATACATCAGAAATCCCAGATTAATCAAGCTGCAGGCAGGGTCCCGTGTTGTCTTCCTAGTTGCTCTCGCACCTCGGGGGCCATGCAAACCCATGTGTGAGTGTGTTGGGATGTCAGTGACTGTCTGCAATGCCCACGTGCCCCAAAGTGGGCCAGGTCCTGCCCCACGCTCCTGAGGCCACGGCATTACTCCGTCTGTGCCGCCCACCGCAGGTTTCCTCTTTCATCCTGGAGATCACTTGAAACCGCTACCACCGCTGTCAGGACTGCACCGTCCCCTTAAGATACCACATTCCGCCGTAGCTCACGCAGCAGTCCTGGGGAGGAAGGGAAAGTCCGTAAGGTCTTGGGAACTATTGTCTGGCTTTGGGACGACAAACGGATCGGTAACAAAAATCTCCTCTCCGGTGCACAAGAGAGAGCATGAGTCCAGAGCAGCAGGTTCTCTCCACGCTGGAGACCAGAGAGCTTAAGTGAAGATGACAAACTCAAGGGGGTGAAGGTTGAGAGGCCGCAGGGAGGCCAAACAATGCAACAGCAGCAAGAAACTGGGCTTTTGGGGGACAAGATGAGGATGGTGCAGAAGCCAGCTGAGGAAAGGTTGTGGGGAGAACTGAGGGGTAAACACAGGCTGAAGCTCAGGGGGAGCCTGAAGGGAGGAGCAGGGGGGGGCTGATGTGAAAGCAGGCGCTGGATCTGAAGCCTTTTAAGAAACAATGTTCTGTGATAATGAACTGTCAAACCTCAGAACCACGCCTGGGGATTCTGACCACTCCGCTGCTAAGCTTACAGCGGGCAAGCACCACAGTAAAGGAGTTCAGTACGTGGGTTTTCTCGTGGGTCATTTTCTTACTGCTATTAGATGAGCACCACGTTCTCCAGTTCTAAGCTAACGGCTTCTCCTTTTGTTTCCACCCTCCCATTCAAGCTAATTCAACATAGGCTTAAGTGATGCTACAGAACTGATGCTTTGGAGCTCAAAGGGAAAAAAGTGTCTTTTTCTCTGAAGTACTAGGACTCACACATCACAAAAACAAATAAGAAATTTATTGTGGAAGCTAGAAAGAGGGTTTGCAGACTTGATCTGCAGATGCAAAACCACAAACCCTGCCAGTCTGTTCCTCTGTGTATAAAAAAGGAGCACACGCAGATGGGGAAATAGGAGTCAACAAATCCTATTTCATTCAAAGAAGAATCCAATCTCTTGGGGCTTAAAGAAGCCAGAGAATGTTCCTATTTCATTAAATCATACTTCTAAATTTTATTTCAGAAACAAAGATAATTTCACATACTTCTGTGACAAATGTATTCAAGGCAAAGTAGCCTGACACAACACAAAGCTGGTCACACAATGACTTAATGACTCACATAAAAGCAGTACCCAGTTTTTTAGGGGAAAGTATTTTTTCCAGAAATAGGTTCTTTGCAAAATAGCAACAGCATCATGAAAAACTAATGCCAGTAGATTGTCTAGATATTCCAGGAGAGCTGATATCTGAGCTCATCAATCACTTGACAAATCTCCCAGCACAGGGAAGCCACACGAAATACTGTCTAGCAGACTGAAATGTCTGAGCTTATTTTAATGTTAAGATGACCAGGTTCTTTCAAGCAAGACCAGTTTGCTTATTATCACAGCAACAGATCTGTAATTTTTCAAATATGCTATTATTCCATTTTCAGACCCCAATGTAATAAAGTACTTAAGCACTTGTCTTATTGAAGTGGGTGACAGTGAGCAAAGGCCCAGCAACAATGATTGAAGTATTACATTAGTTGGCAACTTTCTACTCAGCCATCCTGCATCGCTTTCAAAGCTTGTCAATCATGGCCTGTGCGGTCCCTACTTTATACCTGAAACTGCTTTAGTAAGTAAATGGTCCATCTTCAAAGACAGAGATGAAAGGATTCAAATAAACACTCACAATGAAATGTGTTAACTACTACTTTGCCTGCTTGGTTTGGCCGGGGTTTTGCTCCGTACACTGCTGCACGTCCTACTGTAGAATGAAATGCATTTCCTTTTGAATATGTGGCACTTCTGCTCTTCAGCATTAACCAACAGCAGTAAGCTGGTAATCTCACAACACTGTGCAGAACCTTCCCACCTCCTTAATGTTTAACTCCAAAATATTTAAAAGTAACTCTGAAGTATCACATTTACTACTCTCTATTCTCTGCTGGTCAAAGATGACAAACAAAGATTTGTTGCAATAGTAGAAAATAAGGCCCGAGTCAAAATCACTACTCCTTAGAGGGAAAGAAGGTAGAAGGAGACAAGTGTATTTTTAAGAAAACAAGCTGAAGACCAGACTTTGTCCACAGTCCAACAATTGTCCTATCGTTCTTATAATTTGTCAATTTAAATTAAAATACGATCCTTTGCTCAAACCAAGCATTAAAAATTCATGTAATAACTGGATCAAACCCACAACGGAATGGAAACTTACCTTTAACACTCTATCCACCTCCTGCTTGTTTAGATCTTCTCCACATTCTTGACTCAACTGATTCTGGATGACATTCCTGCGCACTCGGTAGTTTTTCGAAAAGATTTCAAGCAAAACTTGGCGATGCTTTAAAAGAAAATATATCATAAATACAAAGAAAAGAACAATTATTCCTATCTTTGTATATATCAAAACTGCATGTGCCTTAGTCTGTACAAAATATTCACTGAATTACACTGGAGGATTCTTACTTCATAATACCTGAACCCATCACATATACATCCACTCTCTGGCAGTGCTGCAGCCTCTGAGGGCTCTCTTCATCCCCAGTGGCCAGACACCTACACCTGTCCCGTGACCTGGGGCACCTCCAAAGGTACAAGAACATGCTCAAGAAGGGGCTGCAACATATTCCTCTCAAATGCTTCTGCAGGAGTTCATGTGGTCCACTCCAGCCAGGAGGCAGGATACTGCTTGACTCTGCTATAAAAATTTATTTAGATCATGGACACAGGAGTTACACTGTCCATGCACATTTTGACAGGTGCCTTCCCTTTCACTTCATTTATTCTGATAGCAATTAAAACTCAGGAGATGCTCACATACGCTGTCATCATTTTCTATTCTAAATATAAACAGATACATCAGGTAACAACATCATTTCATCTCTGGTTAATATTGCATTACCATCAAAAGAAATAAAAAAAAATTGGACTGGATCCTGGTATGAGGCCTGCATTGAAGAACCCTTTCTCCTCACAGGTTCAAAATTATTGTATTCCACTGAGCTAGTTACTGACATGTATTTCCAACATTGTTTTTTCTGCCCACACCACCTTGTCTTGACACAGCACTGATCATCCTGCAAGCCAAGAGCTTCCTTTCAGCTGGAAATAGGGTGGTATTGAAAACTGGACACTTCAATAGGAAAGAGGAAAACTACCTGCTGTACCAATTCCAGAAACACAAATTCAAACTGCCAAATGCTCAATAAACATGTATTTGGGAATGTCACTTATTTTTATCTTTACCTGATCATAAGTGTCACCGGCCTCCCAAAGTGCATAGACCTTTAGTTCATCTGGTGAAGCAGCAGTCTGTGGAGGAAACTGAGAACAAGAGGCTGTTAAAAATAACCATCTATTTAATGAGTTCTGCTTAATGATTCTATGATACAGTGTCCCTGGACACCTATTACTGAATCAAAAACATCCTTGCCAGTTAATGAGAACTGCTGAAACAACATCAGCTCCTCTCCCATGCCACACTGGCAGCCCCCGTGCCCGCTCAGGCACGGCCCGTTGGGCGGCCAAGGGGCAGATGCCTTCTCGCAGGCCCCATGACTTCAACAGAAACCTGATCCATATCAGACCTGTCCTGCTGGGTGGTCCTGCAGCACGCAGACCCCTAGTTAACGAGGGGCTAACTATGGCCTAGCGAATGGGAGTACCAGTGAGCACCATGGCACCCTGATGTGTGCCTGGATATGCTCAAGCCACATTTGACTGACGCTTCTGGTTCCGGTGGGGTAACCCACGCTAGTGCCATGGGCCCTGGTGCCAGGGCTGGCGCACCACCAACCATTTCAGAGTTTTAAAAGGGAACTGCTGGGCATACTGGAATCCTGTGAATTTTGAGTGCAGACAGTTTCCCACTGGTGGATGGTCAACCACCATGTACCAGAACAATCCCAGGGCTCAGACCTTAGCCGGTATCTCATAGCAAGATGTCTAGATTTTTCCTGTCAGCAGCATTTGGTTCCAGACCATCCAAAGCAGTATTCAGCTGAGAGCACCAAGTGCATTGCAGGGTCTGTCTAGAGGTTTTTACATTTAGAGTAGCAGGTTTCAGAGATTCAGACTCTATCCTGTGTTTATCTGCTTCACTAATCCCAAGTCAACATTACTGACAAGCACTGTGCTTCTGCTGTATTTGTCATCTCTGTTTTGGAGCAGACTATAGGACTTCAGAAGACTGAATACTGATGGACAGTGAACCAGACACTTGCTCATTTCAGGCTCCAAAAATGAAGTGGTTTGGTTGGTGGGTTTTGTTTTGTTTGTTTGTTTGTTTTTCCCCCTATGTGCCAAGCTAGAGAAATACATTTGTTTTTTCTGAGGCAGAGGCCTCACACCCCTGCACACAGAAGGGAACACAACTCTCTCCTCTCCATGGCCCAAACTCCTAAAAAATAAAGTACTATCCATTTGCCTTAACATTTCCCCTTAGAGCTGTGACTAATGAGCAATTCTGGAATATGCCTTCACTCATGACATGTCTCTTCCTGTCTATTACTAACAATTTATTCCTTGCTAACTGCCCATATGACCTAAATCAATCATATATGAAAAGCTAACAAGCCAGTCCTGATTGTTCCAGTATCCCTCAATCCTGGCAGCTGGTACAAACCAAACCTTTCTTTCCAGCCTCCCTCCTCCCTTATACTACGTCAAAAAACTTTTGCATTGCAGAATGCAAGATCAGCCTTTCCTTTCA